GCTGCTATTGTTCTAGAAGTCTATTGAAGAAAGAGGACTGGGAGTGTTGAGAGGCAGGTGCAGGTTCTGTTTAATATGTAAAATTTCATTTAGTCTCCCTGTTTTCAGAATGCCACTTTTTGATAACTGTGCCTCTTGTCCTTTAGTTCAGGGATGCTTTATTTTACTCTCTCTAGGGCAGAGGAGGGGAGTAACCAGTCTTCTGTCTTTAGCTTTACCCTCACCACCACTTTTAGAGTTACCTGGTGTTGCTGCCAAGTCCTGAATCTTTTTTGGTCCTGGTGGTTCTGTGGTGTAATTTGGGTTACTTCTTGACTTTCTCCACTGTTGGCTTGGGAATTCAGTTTTCACTAATCTGCTAAATAGATCATTACTCTTCCAGAATTTTGTTGCTGTTGTCTTTTGTTCTGTTCTCTTTTCTTTAAAATTAATGCTTTAAAAAAAATTCCTTTACAATTACTTAGTGGAGTTTTGGAAAAGAGTTGAATGGTGTATTAAATCCACCATTTAACTTCTATATTTTTTTCATTATGTATCAAACTTCTTACATACTATTTTTAATAGCTAATCTTTGCACATCTGTTATTTCTCCTGTACCCTGGTTACTGGAGTCCAAATTTAAATAATTTGGTATTGTAAGGTCTGAGTATTTATGAGATAATTACTAATCAAGAGAAAATTGGGATAAAGTTCCTCTTTTCTGATATATTTATTAATTTTATTTACATTTAAAAATTAGTTTTCAATTATAATTGACATAGTATATTATATTAGTTTCAGGTATACAACATAGTGATTAGACTTTTATATAACTTGTGAAGTGATCACCCCAATGAGTCCAATAACCATCTATTATTGTATATTTACTGCAATATTATTGACTCTGTTCCTTACACTGTACTGGACATTACCATGACTGTTTTTATAACTCCCAATCTGTACTTCATAATCCTTCACCTTTTTCACATACTCTCCTAATCCCCATTCCATTTGGCAACCATCATTTCTCTTTATGAGTTTTCGGTCTTGTTTGCTTATTTTGTTCTTTAGATTCTACATATAAGTAAAATCATATGGTATTTGTCTTTCTCGGACTAACTTAACATAATACCCTTTAGGTCCATCCATATTGTCACAAATGACAAAATTTTGTTATTTCTTATGGGCTGAGTAATGTTCTATTGTATATGTGTACCACATCTCTATCCATTTGTCTATTGATGAACTCTGGTTGCTTCCATATCTTGACTATTGTAAATAATGCTTCAGTGGACATAGGGTGCACATATCTTTTTGAATTGGTGTTTTGGATTTCATTGAATAAATATCCAGAAGTGGAATTTCTGGGTCATATGGTAGTTGTTTTTAAAAGTTTTTTAGGAACCTCAATACTGTTTTCCATAGTAGCTGCATCAATTCACAATTCCACCAACAGTACATGAGAGTTCCTGTTACTCCATTTCCTGACCAACATTTGTTTACTGATTTTTTTGATGATAGCCTTTCTGACTGGTGTGAGGTGATATCTCATTGTAATTTTAATTTGCATTTCCCTGAGGATTAGTGATGCTGAGCATCCTCCTATATAATAAAAGGCTAATATGCAAATTGTCCCCTCTACCAGGAGTTTGATCAGGGAGTGGGGCTGGCCAGTCAACCACCCGGGGCTCCTTCCCACAGCCAGTCTCCTCCTCCTCCCCCAATCGGTCCCACCCACTCTGATTGGGGGCAGGGCCAGCCGAACAACCTCCCTTGTCCTCTCTCCCTGGCTGGCCTGGCCTGATTGGCCCCAATGGGGGCAGGCCAGCCGGACCCCACCTGGGCACAAATTTGTGCACTGGGCCTCTGGTCTTTTTATATATCTATTGACCATTTGTATGTCCTCTTTGGAGAAATGTGTATTCAGATCCTTTGCTCATTTTTTAATCACATTGTTTGTTCTTTTGGTGTTAAGTTGTATGAGTTTCTTATGTATTTTGGATATTAACCCATTATCAGTTCTATCATTGGCAAATATCTTCTCCCATTTAGTAGGTTGTCTTTAAAAAATACTTTTATTGATTTCAGAGAGGAAGGGAGAGAAACATCAGTGATGAGAGAGAATCATTTATTGGCTGCCTCTTGCACACTCTGCATTGGGGATGGAGCCTATAACCTTGGGCATGTGTCCTGACCAGGAATCAAACCGGCCACCTTTTAGTGCATGGGATGACACTCGACCAACTAAACCATATCAGCCAGGGCAGTATGTATATTTTAACGATGTAAATTCTTCCTATCCATGAGCACGGTATAGTTTTCCATTTATTTGTATCTTCTTCAGTTTCTTTCTTCAATGTCTTATATTTTTCCAAATACAGGCCTTTTACTTCTTTGGTTAAATGTACTCTAAGTATTTTATTTTTTTGATGCAATTGTAAATGAGATTTCTTAATTTCTTTCTTAAATTTTTGCTGGACTTTTAGGCTTCTCTCTATATAGTATGTCATCTGCAAATAATGACAATTTTACTTCTTTCTATTAATAATTTGGATGCCTTTCACTTCTTTTTCTTATCTGATTGATGTGGCTAGGACTTTCAGTACCATGTTGAATAAAATGTTGAAATTGGACAACCTTGTCTTGTTTCTGATCTTCAGGAAGAGCTTTCAGGTTTTCACTGTTGAGTGTGATGTTAGTGTGGGTTTGTCATATATGACCTTTATTATCTTGAGGTATATTTCTTCTATTCCTACTTTGCTGAGAGTTTTTGTCATAAATGGATGGTGGATTTTTTTAAATGCTTTTTTTTTTAATCTATTGATATGAACATATGATTTTTATTCTTCATTTTGTGTATGTGATGTATTATGTTAATTGTAGATATTAAACCAACTTTGTATCCCAGGAATAATAAATCCCACTTGATCATGGTATATGATTTTTTTTTCTTTTTTACTGTTGACACTATTACAAATGTCCCCTTACCCCTCCCCCCCCTTTGCCCACCTCCACCCCACAGTAAGATCTTTTTAATGTATTGCTAAATTTGGTTTGCTAATATTTTGTTGAGGATTTTTGCATCTATGTTTATTAGAGATATTGGCCTATAACTGCAGTATATTTGTGTGTGTAATGTCTTTGTCTGCTTTTGGGACCAGAGCAATGCTGGCCTCATAAAATAAGCTTGGGAGCCTTCCCTGCTCTTGAATTTTTTGGAATAGTTTGACAAGAATGGATGTTAATTCTTCTTTGAATGTTTGGTAAAATTCACCTGTGAAGCCATTCAGTCCAGGATTTTTGTTTGTTGGGAGTTGTTTGATTACTAATTCCATTTTGTTAGTAGTAATCAGTCTGTTCAGATTTTCTGTTTGTTCTTGATTCAGTTTTGGAAGATTGTATATATCTAAACATTTATCCATTTCTTCCAAATTGTCCAATTTGATGGCATATAATTATTCATAGTATTTTTTTCTTTTTTTAAAATTCTAAGTTTTTACTTTAATCACGAACCTAAACTAAACCTATGTTCATAGTATTTTCTTATAATCCTTGCATTTCTGTGGTATGAGTTGTCACCATCAGCAATGCATGAGAGATGTACTTGTTCCATATCCTTACCAACAGGATGTAGTCTTTTTAACTTCAGCCATCATTGTTGGTATGTGTTGATTAATGATATTAAGAGTTTTAGATTTTAACATCAGCCTTATGAGTGCTAGAATATTTTGAAATAGTGGAAATTGAAATAATTATATAGAATAGGGCAAAAGTAGGTTTATAGTTATTTATGTGGAGAATAATATAATAATTAATAATATAAGAATAAACTGTACCTGTTAGAATGGCCAACATCAACAAATCAACAAACGACAAGTGTTGGCGAGGTTGCGGAGAAAAAGGAACCCTCGTGCACTGCTGGTGGGAATGCAGACTGGTGCAACCACTGTGGAGAACAGTGTGGAGTTTCCTCAAAAAACTGAAAATGGAACTCCCATTTGACCCAGTAATCCCACTTCTAGGAATATATCCCAAGAAACTAGAAACACCAATCAGAAAGGATATATGCACCCCTATGTTCATAGCAGCACAATTTACAATAGCCAGAATTTGGAAACAGCCTAAGTGTCCGTCAGCAGATGATTGGATCCAAAAACTATGGTACATCTACACAATGGAATACTATGCTGCCATAAAAAAGAAGGAATTCTCATCATTTGCAGCAACCTGGATGGAATTGGAGAACATCATGCTGAGTGAAATAAGCCAAACAATGAAAGAGAAACACCACATGACCTCACTCATTTGTGGATAATAAAGAGCATTATAAACTGATGAACCAAAAGATAGATATAGAGACAGTATATCAACAAGTAGACTGTCAAATTACAGCGGGGAGGGGAGGAAGATCTGGGGGAGATAATAGATCAACCGAAGGACTTTTATACATGCATATAAGTACAACCAATGGACACAAAACTCTGGGGAGGGAGGGGATGTGTGGGTGGGAGGGAGGGGGGCAAAAAAAAAATCAATAAAATATATTAAAAAAAAAAAAAAGAATAAACTGTGTTTTGAGTATTTAAAACTGTAAATCTACTTTTGCCCCATCCTGTATTCCTGCTTTTTAAGAACTAAAGTGGGCTTTGTAGGCATATGTTCAAGTGACTCCTGTGTAATTGTGGTCCCATTATATATATGACATGATTTTAGTAGGTTGGTAATGTACAGCAGCTCAATTTAAGTGTCTTCCTACTCCTATGAGTGTAAGTTAATACTTTTATAGTGTTTTTGTTTGTTTGTTATATCTATTCTTTGCCAATGATTCATAAGAAAAGCATTAAATAGAGTGACTGGTATTGATGAAAAGACTGGTGATTTGTGTTTCTGAGAATATGGTCCTGGAGTTCTTTATTTTTTTGAATAATTGATTTAGAAATTTTAGATGAATTCACGGATTATATTGAAAAGAAATATGATTAAGATCAAATGAAGATTTGTCTGTTTTTATTCTTCCATAGGACATTTTCATTCCATCTCCAAGTTTGGAAGAACAATCAAATGATGGAAAGAAAGGTGGAGATTTGCATAGTTCTTCTTTGACTGTTGAGTGTTCTAAAACTTCGGAGACTGAACCAAAGAATTCCACTGAAGATCTTGGGCTTTCTTTGACAGGGGATTCTTGTAAGTTGATGCTTTCTGCAAGTGAGTATAGTCAGTCCCCAAAGATGGAGAGTTTGAGTTCTCACGGGATTGATGAAGATGGAGAAAACACCCAGATTGAGGATACCGAACCCATGTCTCCAGTTCTCAATTCTAAACTTGTTCCTGCTGAAAATAATAGTATCCTGATGAATCCAGCAAAAGATGGACAAATAGAAGTGAATCAGAATGCTGATGGAACAAAAGTGGATGACACAGAAACCAGAGACGACATTAGTATTTTAGCTGCTGGTAGCAAAGGCAGAGAAGAGACTGTAGCAGAAGACGTTTGTATTGACCTCACTTGTGATTCAGGGAGTCAGGCAGTTCCTTCTCCAGCTACTCGATCTGAGGCACTCTCCAGTGTGCTAGATCAGGAGGAAGCTATGGAAATTAAAGAACATCAGCCAGAAGAGGCGTCCTCAGGGTCTGAGGTGGAAGAAATTCCTGAGACTCCTTGTGAAAGTCAAGGAGAGGAGCTAAAAGAAGAAAGTATGGAGAGTGTCCCATTACACCTTTCTCTGACTGAAACTCAGTCCCAAGGGTTGTGTCTTTCAAAAGAAACCCCAAAACAAGAATGTCAGGAACCTATGGAAGTTGAAACCAGTGTGATTAGTATTGATTCCCCGCAAAAGCTTCCAGTCCTTGACCAAGAATTGGAACATAAGGATCAAGAAGCATGGGAAGAAGCTACTTCAGAGGATTCAAGTGTTGTCATTGTAGATGTGAAGGAGCCATCTCCCAGAGTTGATGTTTCTTCTGAAACTCTAGAAGGAGTGGAGAAATGCTCAGATTCCCAGTTGTGGGAGGATGATGCTCCAGAAATAGAACCATGTGCTGAGAATAGAGCTGATACCCAGGAAGAAAAGAGTGCTGAGTATGAAGGAGATCTGAAATCAGTGACTGCAGAAAAGGAACCCATACAGGCCGACCCTCCACAGCCTCCAGGAACTTCAGTGGGAGAAGGTGATGTTCCCAAACCTGACCCGCAGGTGCAGCAGACCCAGCCTAAAGAGAAGACAGATAACTCATCACCAGAAGACTCCAAAATGGCTAATACTCAGCAGCTGGAGAAGGCCTCAGCCCACACCTCACAAAGCTTCTGTGAAAGCTCTAGTGGTGAGTGTGATTAAATTGTTCTGTGTCTGTCTCCAACCATAATACAATTTGGAATGGGAGGTAAGATAGAACTACATGCTTATGTCAGGGTTGAAAATTAACTTGGATTTATTAAAACATTTGGGTTGTATTCTTTTGTAGTTGTAATTAAGCATGGAATCAGATCATTTAATATTTATCAGATTTATGACTTAGGAGTAATCAACATGATTTTTATTATGTACAATAGAAATTATACCAATCTGGTGTTTTCTGCTGAAGTCCCAATCTTGCCCCCCAATTTTTTTTTTTTAATATTCTTTATTGATTTTTTACAGAGAGGAAGGGAGAGGGATAGAGAGCTAGAAACATTGATGAGAGAGAAATATTGACCAGCCAAACCGATTTCAGCTCAATCTTGCCCAAATTTTTATATTTTGATAGTTGCCTTAAAGTTCAGGATCTTTTTTGATTACACAGTAAAGAACTCTGTTAATGGCCCTAACCGGTTTGGCTCAGTGGATAGAGCAGCAGCCTGTGGACTGAAGGGTCTCAGGTTCAATTCTGGTCAAGGGCATGTACCTTGGTTGTGGGCACATCCCCAGAAAGGGGGCGGGGGTGTGCAGAAGGTAGCTGATCGATGTTTCTCCCTCATCGATGTTTCTAACTCTCTATCCCTCTTCCTTCTTCTCGGTACAAAATCAATAAAATGTATATTAAAAAAATCTCTGTTAATGAATATGCTGTTATTGGTTGTTTCCTCTTTATGGGTATTAAGTAAAGTTTCTGAATTTGGCTTAACATATATACATCATAAATCTTAAACTGGAAAAGATATTAGTTTGTGACTTTTATCTATCTTATGAAGTCCAGAATGAGAATATAAATTACTTTCTGAAATATTTGTAGAATATTATGTATGACATTAGCTGAAAAGTGTTCAGTTTTTCTAAATGCCCAGAGTTAGTGTCGTTAAAAAAAAAAATTGGAAAATAAAATATAGCCCTGCATGTGTGGCTCAATGGTTGATCCTTGACTTATGAACCAAGAGGTTACCAGTTCAATTCCTTGTGAGGGCACATGCCCAGGTTTTAGGCTTCATACCCAGTAGGGGGTATGTAGCAGGCAGGCCATTGATGTTTATATCTCTTTATTCCTCTCCCTTCTTCTCTCTCAAAAAAAAAAAAAAAAAAAAAGCAATAAAAACATATTTAAAACAAAAAAAAAAACTTAAGAAAATAAGCTTCTAGGATTATGGAAATGAGAAACAGTATTTGGGACATCATAGCTGTTAGTATGGGTGATTATACATTTTGGTATTTCTGGAACAGTCCTACTTTATACCTCTTATGCAGGTGTGATTATTAATAGTATTTATTTTACTTATTTTTTCCTCAAAGTTATCTCAATTTATTAGGTTTTATATTCAGGACTTTTTTTTTTTTTTTTTTTAACTTCTTCAGAAAAGAAGTTAGAGCTGAAATGGAGGTTGGAGGTTATTGGGTTTAGTCTCTTCTTCCTAAAGTCACATGGCTAATACATGATTGAGGTAGGACAAGAGCCTATGATGCCTGATTCTCAGTGCTACGTTTTGTGTTTTTTTCTCCTGTGAGACTGAATAATACAATTTCTCTGATTCTGATGAGTTATGGTAAAGAACTATCTGAATGGCCTAATATTTTATATTATTGAATATTTTTATAATTTCATTATGTCCAAATACTGTTATGACCTACATTAGCTAGAATTATCGGGGCTAGTAGATTGTTTCAATTTGGTTACTTAGGAGTACTCTTTAATTATTTTAGCAATTGTATATAGAAGAAGCTTAAAACATTGGGATGTTTCAGTATGTTAAAAGTATTCTTCATGAATTATTGTTTACACTATTAATGGCAGAGCCAGCTCTTTTTTTAAAATCTTCACCCAGGATATTATTCTATTGATTTTTTTTTTTTATTCTAAAGACAGTGAAAGGGAGGCAGGTGGGGGGTAGAGGGGGGAGAAGGAACAGATGGGAGGAGGGGAGAGAGAGAGAGAGAGAGAGACAGACAGACAGACATAGACATGGATGTGAGAGCAATCACATCTGTTGGTTGCATCCCTCGCTTGCTGAATAGAACCTGCAACCCAGGTACGTGCCCTTGACTGGGAATTTAATCCGTGACCTTTTGGTGTGCAGGCCGACTCTCTAACCACCAAGCAGCACCAGCCAGGGCAGAGCCAGCTCTTTTTTTTTTTTGCCAATGCAAAAACTAAACCACATACCTGTTATTTTCAAAACTTGAATGTCAAGAGCAAAACTCAAGCCAGCTCTTTTTTATAATAGACATTGCCATAGTAAAACTCATTTTACTAATTTTTATCTAGGTTATTGAAAATACTAATAAGTTATATTCTGTTTACTTAGTTCTTGAGGTAACAACTAAAAGCAGTGAAGACAGTGGTTGGTCTATTAGGGGATTAAAGTAAATTACTCAGAAGAGCATTGCTAGAACAAAAAAATGTTATTTTGTACTTAAAGCATAGTTGTCTAGTTGCTAAACCTAAAGAGAGACTAATTTCAATGAGAGTAACCTAAGAAATTAATGGTTCTGGAAAGACAGAATTAAAGTTACAAATTGGTTGAGTCCCAAGTGTGTTAGATTTCTGTATGTCACAGTTAGAAGGGTACTGTTGTTATTTTATTAAAGTCTTTATTGATTGGAAAAAAAATACATGCTTAATTGTGGAAAATGTTCAAATAATACAGAACAGGGGAGAGAGGTGATGGCTGGAGAGGGAAGGTGGTCAGAGGGAGTAGGGGGAGAGAATCGTTCTAAATACTTCCATTTATAGATAACTTGTCTCTGTTATTAGTATGGAGACCTCTTCAGAAGTTTTTTCTGAAGACCTACTCCTGAAATTCGAAAAAAGGAAATTTAGGGAAGGTGGTATTTGGAAGCCCAATAATATTCAATATAGAATAAATTTATGATGGTTTGATGACATGAAAAATCATAAGTTTAATAAGTCTCTTTAAAAATATATATATTTTTTTATTGATTTCAGAGAGGAAGGGAGAGGGAGAGAGAGCTATAAACATCAATGGTGAAAGAGAATCATTGATCAGCTGCCTCCTGCACATCCCTACTGGAATCTAACAGTGATCTCCTGGTTTAAAGGTTGACACTCAATCACTGAGCCATGCTGGCTGGACAATAAATCTTTAATTAAATCCACAAATGGTAATATATAACAGGATAATAATGATCATTGAAGCTAGATATGTCTTGTAGTCTAGCTCTACCATTTATTGGCTTACTTTGTGGAATATCATCCTAATTGGTTGTTAATGTCAGAGGCAGACTCTTAGGATAGGCTGTTTATGGGTGGCATCACCCAATATAGAAATGCTTATATATTTAACTAGAGGGTTGGAGCATGAATTTGTGCATGGGTGGGGTCTGGCCAGCTCACCCCAATGGGGGCTGATCGGGTTGGGCTGGTGGGGGTTGGGGCCATGGGAAGTTGGCCAGCTGGCCCCGCCCCCAGTTGAGGTGGGGAGGGCTGATCAGGGGAGGGGGCACCGATCAGTCTGGTTGGCCGCCACAGTGCGCCTCATAGCAACTGGTCGTTCCAGTCGTTCTGGTCGTTCTGTCATTCCAGTTGCTGAGCTTTTATATATATCAGTCAGATGGCTTTAAACCATTGAAAGAAATGACCAGGTCTTCTCTTGAGAACAAAAGATGGGCTTTATATTATAATAGAAAGTGAGAAGTAAGAGAGATCTTACTGACATTAAATGTTTTAAATTTTGGTTTGGACTAATGACTCTTTATAAAGTCTTTAGTAATAAGGTCTTGTCAGATGGCTTGACAATGGATATTAAGTTCCTTTTGTTTAGTTGTATCTTTTTTAATGGGTTGGTGTGCTGGGCTGGCATACATTAGGATAAACCATCATAATCTGGGAAATCAAGAAGGGACTTGATAATGTAAATAATGAGGGTGTGGTAAATCTTAGAAAAAGAATTGAATATGTTGAAAATTCCAGTAAATTTAAGAGGATAAAATATTATTTTGTCAAATTTGGTGATAATTTGATTAGATTACCTATGTCTTTCAGATGAGTGAACAAAAGCAGAGAAATGGGAAAACATTTGGAGGACATTGAAAAGAGGCTTTATGAACATGAATAATTTAAGATAGAGTAGAAATATAGGCTGCTCCTAGTTAATTGAATGCTAGTTAAAGAGTTAGGGATTTATCTTCTAGTAGAAACCTTACAGCTTTGACCAGGAGCTAATGTGTTCAAAGTCATGTTCTTTAGGAAGATTGCTTTGGTTGCATTGTGCAAAAAAAATTGGGGAGAGCGGGAAACTTAAGGCAGAGAAAGTAATTGATAGGCTGTTGAAATAATCAACGAATGAGGCATTGAAGACCAGAGAGAGATGGTGTCAGTGCTGCCTGTAAAATGCTCAATGTTCCATTAGGTTGTAGTAATGCAGTTATATTATTGGTGTTAAAATAACTTCATAAGTTTTATCTAGTACTGTGCAAAGTAAACACATACTTTTAGCAATATTTAGTGCTTCACATTTTGTTTGTATATTATGGTTTGTCATATAGAAGGATTTTCAAAAGTCTGTATGGTCAATTATAATATGAGAGATAAATAGTTCCTGTGAAGAGAGCAGGTGGTTGTTCCAGGAATGAAAAGTTCTTTAAAATATATTTTTGGAATGTATGATGCTTTGTGAGATACTTGTTTTTCAGTTTCTATATCTTTTCTAAATTCTTCTTTAGTAATGTAAAGGGCTTGCTTTTTAAGGAACTGCCAGAGAATGAATGCTTATCTACTTGACCCATTTCTCTTTTTTCTATAACTATGGTGGAATTCTTTGCCATTTAGATGTGATGTTGAAATTCTCCACTCATACTCTTTACAGTTCCTTTAGCTGAGCATATATTATTTTTCATCCTTTATTTCTAAAAGTTCGTTCATTTCCTCTTTTCTAAAGTTCATTCATTTCCTTTCTTCATCCCTTCAGATTACTAATTCATTTTCTCTTACATATAGATGTCAGCGATGTTTTTATTGTTGTTTTGTAATTTTGAAGTATCAAAGTGCTTGGTATTAAAAGTAATAAAGGATGGGAGCAGCCCGGCCAGCGTGGCTCAGTGGTTGACTGTCAACCTAGGAAGCAGGAGGTCATAGTTCAATTCTCAGTCAGGGCACAGGGTTGTGGGTTCCATCTCTAGTGTGGGGCGTGCAGGAGGCAGCCAACCAATGAGTCTCTCATCATTGATGTTTTTATTTCTCCCTCTCCCTTCCTCTCTAAAAGCAATAAAAATGTATTAATAAAAATAGGAGTGGAGTGGGAAAAGATGAAAGAAGAAAATATAATAAGAAATATATTTGTTCTTTATCCGGTTCCTGTACAGAGCTGCTAAAACCCTTATTGATTTTGAAGTGAAAGGAATATCTTTTTGTTATTCACAAGCCCTTTTAGTCACAACTGGGTTTGTGCTGAGTAACTTAGGGTAGATCCCTATATAGCCTCAGGATGGTGCTGTTCACAGTGAAGACTAAGTGATTATTATTATTTTTTGGTTAAGCCTCACCCGATGATATCTTTCCATTGATTTTTAGAGAGTGGAAAGGAGAGGGAGAGACAGAGAAAAACATCGATGTGAGAGAGACACATTGATTGGTTGCTCCCTGCATGCACTAGGGCTGGGGAACCTGCAACCCAAGTACATGCCCTTGACTGGAATGGAATCTGGAACCCTTCAGTCCATGGGCCAACACTCTGTCTACTAAGCCAAACTGGCTAGAGCAAAACCAAGTGATTACTAAAGTGTGGAACTTTTATTATTATTATTATTTTATTTTAAAATATATTTTATTGATTTTTTTACAGAGAGGAAGGGAGAGAGATAGAGAGCTAGAAACGTCGATGAGAGAGAAACATTGACCAGCTGCCTCCTGCACACCCCCTACCGGGGATGTGCCTGCAACCAACGTACATGCCCTTGACTGGAATCGAACCTGGGACCTTTCAGTCCGCAGGGCAACGCTCTACCACTGAACCAAACCGGCTTCGGCTAAAAGTGTGGTACTTTTAACCCAGCCCCTTGACTCCTGGGAGGGGAGGGGCTGGAGAGTCAAGCTCTATAAAAACTCTTTTTTTAAAATATATTTTATTGATTTTTTTACAGAGAGGAAAAGAGAGGAATAGAGAGTTAGAAACATCGATGAGAGAGAATCATTGATCAACTGCCTCTTGCATACCCCCCACTGGGGATGTGCCTGCAAAAGGATGTGCCCTTGACCGGAATTGAACCTGGGACCTTTCAGTCCACAGGCCAACGCTCTATCCGCTGAGCCAAACTGGTTTCGGCAAAACTCTTTAAAAAATATATATATTTTTTATTCATTTCAGAGAGGAAGAGCTGTAGACAATCAATGATGAGAGAGAATCATTGACTGGCTGCCTCCTGCACACCGCCCCCCCTCCCCTCACCCCACTGGGGATCAAACCCGTAACCTGGGCATGTGCCCTTGACCAGAATCGAACCCAGAGGCCATTTAGTTTGCAGGCCTACGCTATATCCACTGAGCCAAATCAACTAGGGCTGTTTATATTAATTTTATAATGACTAACCAAAAATGTGTATACTGGAATGCTCATATATGTGAGACTATTGTGCAGAGATGTTTATATGAATATTATTACTGTGGTCTAGAGTGAATGCTGGTCAGTATTGCTGAACCATGAAACCCATAGACTTCTGTTAGAACCAATGAGTATTTTGAAGTACTTTGGCCAATGAGATCCTTTGTCACCTCTTTGAGTGGAACGTAAATGACAAGTATTACCATCAGACTTCAACGAGAGGATGATACAGATTGCTAAAGCTTATAAACTAACTCCTTGGATTAACATTGCATAAAATGAGAAAGTCTAGACTTAAAACTACCCGAATTTGTATCACTGAGAATTCCCAAATGTACTATCTTGGAGCTCACATGTTTCTATGTTCGCATGTTCTTGGAACCTCCAAACTCTGGGCTTCCTCTGTTTGCCTTCCTTTGGTTGTCCTCTTTGTGTCAGTCTGTTGATGGCTGTAAAGAAAGCAGAGAACCGTAGGAAATTGATTGGGAGGCCTGTTGAGGGGGGTTGGGAATGAGGCAGAATTTGGGAAAAGAATAATTTAAATGTTTCTTTCAGTTCTCTTCACTTTTGCTTTTTTTAGTACTTCAGTTTTGGTTTCCTTTTTGTTTATTATTTTTTCCTCCAGAAACTCCATTTCATTTCACTTTGCCTAAAGAAGGTGATATTATCCCACCATTGACTGGCGCAACTCCACCTCTTGCTGGGCATCTAAAGCTAGAGCCCAGGAGACACAGTACTCCTATTGGTGAGTGATTAAATGTAATAGCACTTAAAGCAGCATTTCTGAGACATTATTTTCTATGCAAGTGATTTCTTTTAGATCTGAGGAGCTGAATCTTCCTCATAAGGCTGATTTTTGTCTTAGGAAGAATAAGGTTGTGATGTCTGATTTCATGAGTTTACTCCCAGGAGATATTGAGTGGTGATGAGAGGAAAGAAAAGATAGAAGGAATAAAGAAAAAAGAAAAAAGGTAGGGATTTTGTCCTATTACTTGCAAAGCAGTGGAATCTGAGTGCTAAACAGTGATATAGAGCTCTTATAAGGAAGGAGAACAGGTAGGGTAGAAGTACTATTAATTCAGTACCCCGGCTGATCAGTCTGCCACTTGACAAGGCAAGAAAACATAGACCCTCCTTCCCTAAAGCAGCCAGTGATTTTTACATTAACCTATTTTTTTTCCTCTAGTCAGTGCTGGGAGGTAACAGTCATGCCGTCTGGAGTCTCCTGCTTCCTATGCCTGATGCTGGCATTGGCTGAGGGCTCATGCAGCATCCTTTGTCCAGATGCAGAAGTGGAACTGAATCCTGTTGCTCCTCTTAAGACCAGGTGTCAATACTAGTGTGTAGTTGTTGATACTTGTGACAGGATCTAACCTAGGACCTCCCTTTCAATCCTGCAGAGCTGTGGAGCCAAACAGGCAAATTGATGACCTTGTATTAATTGTTTTTTGTTTGCATTTTCGTGTTCTTTCTTTCTACCTCCTGCCTCTCTTCTTTCAGATATTAGCAACTATCCAGAAAGCACGACAGCAGCCAGTGATGTCATGTCTGAAAGCGTGGTGGAAACTAATGACCCCATCCTTGTGAATGAAAAAGAAGATTCTGGGGCTGTCCCAGAAATGGATGACAAATTGTGTCTTAGAATGAAACTGGTCAGTCCTGAGACAGAGGCGAGTGAAGAATCTTTGCAGTTTAGTCTGGAAAGTAAGTTTATGATAATCTTGGGTAATTAGTAGCTCCAGATCATCTGGGAAGTAGTGATTATATTTTTTCTAGTTATACTTTTATAAATGTATTTGTAAAATATTGTTATATATTTAATTCTTTGCTTTTGGCCAGTCACTATCAATGTTACTGAAGATGCTCCATTTTATTTTATTTTTTAATTTTAAAATATATTTTTATTGATTTTAGAGAGGAAGGGAGAGGGAGAGAGAGACAGAAACATCAATGATGAGAAATAATCATTGATTGGATGGTTCCTCTACAGCCCCTACTGGGGATTGAGGCCGTAACCTGAGCATGTGACCTTGACCAGAATCAAACCCTGGATCCTTTAGTCCATAGGCCAACACTTCATCCATTGAGCCAAACCAGCTAAGATGAAGATATTCTGTTTTATAATCTCTATGGTTCTAGTTGTATCTCTGCATTAAACCTGTGTTGATATTAAATAATTGGTTTCCATATTCAGAAACAGTTCAGAAAATGGTAGAAAATTTGAGATTATGGATTCACATTGTAGGTTTATGTTGACTATTTCCCACATTAATTGCAAGTTATTTGGTGTGGCTAAAATCCAGAGAAGGTACAAAGGAGTGGCTATAAAGTAGAGACCAGATTCTGAAAGGTCTTTTATATCATGATGAGAACCTGAAAAATTTTAGGCAAGGAAGTAATAAGACTGAATTTGCTTTTTAAAAAGGATCAGTTGAACATTGGCCAGGTGACTCAGTTGCTTGGAGTGTTGTCCATACATCAAAAGGTTGCAGGTTCAATTCCCTGTTAGCACATACCTAGATTGTGAGTTGAAACTCTGGTTGGGTACATGTGGGAGGCAACCAGTCCATGTTTCTCTCTCACATCAATGGTTCTCTCCCTCTCCCTCTCCCTTTTCTCCTTTCTCTCTTTCTAAAATCAATAAACATATCCTTGGGTGAAGATAGATAGATAGATAGATAGATAGATAGATAAAGTGAATAAATAAATAGATCAGCTGAGTGTTTCAAAACTTGTGCTTCTGCCAAAACCAGTTTGGCTCAATGGATAGAGTGTCGGCTTGGGGACTGAGAGGTCCCGGGTTCGATTCCGATCAAGGGCATGTACCTTGGTTGCGGGCATATCCCCGGTAGGGCGTGTGCAAGAGGCACCTGATTGATGACTCTCTCTCATCGATGTTTCTAGCTCTCTATCTCTCTCCCTTCCTCTCTGTACAAAATCAATAAAAAATATATATATATTTAAAAAACAAAACAAAACCAAAAAACAAAAAAAAACTTGTGCTTCTGTGTATCATTCCTTGCCTTGCCCATTTCCTTTTTTTTCTGCCTGGCAAGTCTTTTATGAGGAATTGGGGTAATTAATAGTGGTGATGGAGATGAGGGATGAATTTGAGAGGTAGTTAGTAGAATAGGAACAACTTGGACCACTTGAATATAGAAGTAAGGGGAGGAAATAATACCAATTGATTCTACATCTGTGTTTAGTTTTCATGATAGCACTCCATACTAAATATCCTTATTTCCATTTAATTGATGAGAAAACAGACTGAGATTTTAAGTTATATATCTATGGTCATAGTAACTGGTAAGAAGTAGAGCTGGAGTTTGGATCATATCTGACTCCAAGGTTATAATTTTTTTTTTTTTTACTAAGTAGTTTGTAAATGCAGTTTAATGGAGTTAAAAAGGAAAAAGTCTTAAAGGTGATTGTAGCCGAAACCAGTTTGGCTCAGTGGATAGAGCGTCGGCCTGCGGACTGAAAGGTCCCGGGTTCGATTCCAGTCAAGGGCATGTACCTTGGTTGCAGGCACATCCCCAGTGAGGGGTGCAGGAGGCAGCTGGTCGATGTTCCCCTCTCATCGATGTTTCTAACTCTATCTCTCTTCCTCTCTGTAAAAAAATCAATAAAATATATATTTTTAAAAAGTGATTGTAAAGGAACTTTCAGAGAAGATGGCGAGGAGAATATAAAGCCATGGATGGCTATGGGGAGGAAAGTTACAAGAAGAAAACAATGTCAGATGCAGAAGTGAGGTGTAGTAAGGTATTTCTGAAAAGGTACATTGCGTTTGGCAATTAGGGTCCATTTGGTGACTCTTGCAAGAACTATTTCAGTATAGTGGTTTGGATGAGAGCTATACTGAAGGTAATTGAGGCATGTTGGGGAGAAGAGGCATTCTTCTTTTGAGAAGTTTTTGTTAAATATGGCAAGTTAGAGGGAAATGCAGGATTAAAGGAGATTTTTCATTTCTAGACAGTCTAATCAGGCATATAGACTGAATAGAAATCTCCAAAAGAGAGATGGATTAAAAGTGAGGGAATAGGGGAAACAGTTGATGAACCAGGTCCCTGAGGGAGTTGAGAGGGAAAGCTTTCAAAGACCACTAATAGCCAGGCTGGTGTGGCTCAGTGGTTGAGCATTGACCTATGAGCCAGGGAGTCTTGGTTTGGTTCTGGTTGAGGCACATACCCGGGTTGTGGGCTCGGTCCCCAGTGGGGATGATCGATGGTTCTCTGTCATCATTGATGTTCTGTCTCTCTTCCTCTTCCTTCTTCTCTGAAAAATAATTTTAAAAAAAGACCACTAATAGTGTGATTAAACTTGAATAATAGGGATTTTTCATTCTTTGAGAATAAAGAAAAGAAATTTTACCTAATTTCAGTTCTTACTATATGCCAGGCATTTTATATGCACACCTCACTAAATCTCCTGACAAACTTGTAAAGTTGTGTGTGTTTTTGAAAATCCTATTATTATCCACATTTTACAGTTGGGGAAACAGGCACGGGCCGGTTGAGCACCTTTCTTAGAGTCATACAACTATTTAATGTAGTATCTTAATTCAAACTATTCCAAGATCCAGAAGTCCAGTTTCAAATTACAGGGCTATTCTGCTTCTCAGTGCTTACTGATTTGAATCGTAGAACCTCAGTAGAAATTAAAGTATTACATGTTTCTATCCTTATCATCTTTTCTGAAGTCAAGTAGAGCTTATTAAGAGAGTATGTGGTAGCCTTGAATCTTTAGATTTGAGATTACAGATGGAAAGAATTTAAATGAAGCTAAATGTTAAGAATGACTGTATTATTACTTTTCAGATAATAGGAGCACAGGATCAGGCATCAAAACTTTACTCATCTCATCCTCACAACCTCGTGTGAGGCGGGTCCTGTTTTCTCTCAGAGAAGAGAAAACGGACTAGAAGATGAAGGAGTTTACTCCCAGGTTGTACTACTGAGTGCAGGAGCTGGAGCCTGAGCCAGATTTCTGTTTCAGAGCTAGAGCTTCAGCCACTAAATTTCAGCTGCTTCCTTGATGGACTATTTAGATTATGTTGGGTCATGAAATTGTAGAAATGTTTAAAAATATTTTGTTATTTTTTTCTGAGGCTGGAATAAATTGTCAATGAATACATTTTAATTCCTTGATGTTAGTGACATTACTTTTTAAATATGGGATTCTTTTCAGTATCATCCTTGATTTTTTTTTTCTTTTCTTTTTTTCTTTTTTAAATCCTCACCCGGGGATATATTTCCTCATTGATTTTTTTTTTTTTTTTTTTTTTTTTTTTTAAGAGTGAGGAAGGGATTGAGAGAAAGATAAATATCTGTTTAAGAGAGAAATATTGACCGGCTGCCTCCTACAGGAGCCCCAATAGGGGATTGAACTGCAATCCAGGCATGTATCCTGACTGGGATTGAACCACAACCCTTTTGTGCATGGGATGATGTTTCAACCAACTGAACCAATCTTTTTTGAAAAATGTAGATTTAAAAAAAGAAAAGAAAAAAGAAAATGTGGCTTTTCAATAATTTAACATAATTATCTGTCTTCAAAGATCTTTAGGAAGAACTTGAGTACCTTCTATGTGTGGGTTCTCATAAAACTGCACGCTATTTAAAATTTGCATCTGAAGACATTTTCCTACATAATTCATCTTATTAAACTTTCCTTGTTTATTTTAAATTTATTTGATTTTTAATTTTTATAATTTTTTAATTTGATTTTTAAGTAAATATTTAAAAAATTCTTATATGAGACAAGATAGTTGAGATTCATTTTTAAATGTTACTGCTTCATTCTATTCCTGAACAAACTGATAAGTCATCTGTAGGAAGTTTGAAAAAAATTGATTGATAGAAGTGAAACTTGTACTATCCTATATAATCAAAGAGTAATATGCAAATTGACCCTAAAGGCAGAATGACTGTGGGACCAGTCACTATGAGGCACACCTTTCCCCCTGGCTGGCAGCTCTAATTGCCTGATGGCGAATGGGGACCCAGGGGTGGATGGCAGGGAACCAGGGAATGTGGGTGGTGCCAGACCCAGGCCTCCGGTTGATGGGGGCGGGGCTGGTGAGCAGGTGGAATGGCCAATCTCTGGTTCCCTGTCGTGTGTGTGTGTGTGTGTGTGTGTGTGTGTGTGTGTGTGTCCCCGTCCCCGGCCATTAGGCACCAATCACCAGATGGCGAACAGGGAACTGGGGGTGGATGGCGGCTGCGGCAGTTAGTAAAGATGACCTTGATTGCAGATCAGGCCGAGGGACCATACCTGTGCACAAATTTCGTGCACTGGACCTCTAATTAAATTATAAGTCTTTTTATGTTTCCTTATTATTCTTACCCATTTCTTTTTGTTATTTGTTGCAAATACATACTAGTAGAACAGGTTTTTTATGTGTGATATTAACTGAATTCTCTCTCTTTTCTTTCCTTGCTTGTTTTTATTAAGAGCCCGCAATTGGTGAAAGAAAAAATGGATCTACTGTTGCTGCTGAGGCTGTTGCCAGGTAACTAGAGCTGGTTGCTATTTAGAGGAATTCAATATACAAAGCCATTGTACTGCAGGGAAGATGATTTATCAAGAGAGGAATAGAACTTAAAATATAACTCCAGCATAAAGATTTAACAATGTGTTGAATCTAATATAGGCTTTCTAAAGTCTAATAAAGCTTTTGCTATACTTAGAACTAAGATATTTGAAGGTGTTTTCCTTTCTACCTTTTGTTCATGTGGGACAGTGTCCTTTTTTTTAAATTTTAATTTAATTTTATTATTATTTTTTAACCTTTTTATGTTATTGTGACCAAGATTGTTGTTGTTTTGTGAGGAAATGGAGGGTTTAACAAAAGATAAACCTTAGACCTTGTTCCTCTGAGATCCTCTACTCAGCCACAGCCTCAGGCCGTTTTCTCTTCTGTTTGCTAGATTTGCTGTGTTGAACTGTTATTTTTGCTTTGTCATGAATGCTGTAATGCTTTGAGCATGAGTATGACTCCATCCGGAGGCTCTGGTGGTAAGCTTTGCCATCTGGTGGCTGTGAGAGGAAAATTGTTTTATTGGTTTCTGGCATGAAAATAGTAGCAGCAGTTTGTGAAATATAGGTGAAGATTTTTAAATCAGGCTAAGCAGGTACTATAGATAAGTTAAGCAGGCTAAGGGCAAGACCTTGAAGTGCTGAGGCTGATGGCCACCTGAACATCAGCTCTATTTAAAAAGCTGGGGAGGATAGGCCGGGTTCAACTTCAGCTTATCGTTACCATGCAAGAAGGCAAACTTGTTGCCACACCTCTAATTTTTTAAAAATATATATATATTTTATTGATTTTTTTACAGAGAGAAAGGGAGAGAGATAGAGAGTTAGAAATGTCGATGAGAGAGAAACATCGACCAGCTGCCTCTTGCACACCCCTTACTGGGGATGTGCCCATAACCAATGCACATGCCCTTGACCGGAATCGAACCTGGGACCTTTCAGTCCGCAGGCCGACGCTCCATCCACTGAGCCAAACCAGTTTCGGCAACACACCTCTAATTTTTAAAGAGAGATCAGGATTTTTAAAATAAAATTTCATGTTTGGTGGGTCAAATAAGGCCTATCTATGGACTAAATTTGACCTCAGATTAAAGTTTTTGACCCCTGTCTAAATCCTTTGATCTGTATTTAGCTATATGTTAGATTAGTTGTACTCAGGGCTCTTACATAAGGTTGAAGACTAATGATATGTACCGTATTTTCCGGCATATAAGACGACACTGGGTTCTAGTAAAAAGCCTGCTCAGATTGGCCAGAGTCAGAGAGGCGGTCTATTAAAAAAAAGAACTGGTGTTGCCTCGGAAGTGCAGGGTAGTCTTATACAGCGAATATAGGCCTAAACCTATGTTTTAACTGTAAAATTAGGGGTCATCTTATACACCCAGTCGTCTTATACGCCGGAAAATACGGTAGTCTTACAAGTTGAAAAAAAAAAGTTTTTACTTGATCTCTGGTTTTAACAGAATTGCATACTACATATAACTTATTAATCTATATATGTGCCCTTTGAAAGGGAACAGAATATTCTGCTAAAGCTTCCCAAACCCCTAGGAGGAATGTAGGATTGGGAAAATACTTGAGGCACATGATTGGATTGGTGGGTCATAGAATGAGGTGAAATCCATTGGTATTGTTAAGCAAGTTTTGTATATGAGAATCTAAATTTAAAAAAATATATATTTTATTGATTTCTTTACAGAGAGGAAGGGAGAGTGAAAGAGATAGTTAGAAACATTGATGAGAAAGAAACATCCATCAGCTGCCTTCTGCACACCTCCTTCTGGGGATGTGCCCACAACCAAGATACATGCCCTTGACCAGAATGAAACCTGGGATCTTTCAGTCTGCAGACCAACGCTTTATCCACTGAGCCAAACCGGTTAGGGCGAGAATCCAAATTTTAAAAGTATTTGATTCTTCACTTTACCATTAAGTATATAATAAATCATTTAAAGTAAGCTCTGGAAAAGTTTTGAAAAAATGTATTTATTAATTTTTGAGAGAGAAAAACATTGATTTGTTGATCCATTTACTTTTGCATTCACTGGTTGATTCTTATACAAGAATCTTATACAAGATTCTTATACAAGAATCAACCTGGGATTGAACCTGCAACCATGGTGTAGCAGGATAATGCTCTAACCCAGCGTTAACCAACCGTTGGCCTGTAAACTACTGGTGGTCCTTGAGGTCTAAAAGGTTGGTGACCACTGCTGTAACCACCTGAGCTGCCGGAAATCTTACCGTTTGTGACAGAATGGATGGATCTGGAGATTATTATGCTAAGTGAAATAAACCAGTCAGAGAAAGACAAAAACTATATGATCTCATATGAGTAGTCTAATGAAGAAAATAAATTGACAAACAAAATAGAAACAGAGACAGGGATACCTGGAACCAACTGACAGCTGTCAGAGGGGAGGAAGTTGGGGGGATTAGATGAAAGAAGGTGAAGGGATTAGCCAAAACACACACACACACACACACACACACACAGAGACACACACACACACAGAGACAACAGTGCAGTGATAGCCTGAGGGAGAGGGGGTCGGGGCTAGGTGGAGGCTGGCAAAGGGGGGATGGGGACGGGAAGAGGCTTTACTTCGGATGAGGGGTGCACATCACGGCACGCAGATAATGTTTTATTGAATTGTACACTTGAAACCTGTATGATATTGTGAACCAATGTCATTTCAATAAATTCAATAATAAAAAAATGGTAAGCTCAGTTAGAATATTTTAAATGCTCATTGCTTCCTCTGTATTTGGGTAAAGCAGTACCATTCTCTTTTTAATATATTTTTATTGATTTCAGAGAGGGAGAGGGAGAGCGATAGAAACATAAATGATGATAGAATCATTGATTGGCTGCCTCCTGCATGGCCCCACAGTGAGGATTAAGCCCGAAGCCTTGGACATGTGCCCTAACAGAAGTCAAACCCGTTACCTCCTGGTTCATAGGTTGACACTCAACCACTGAGTCACACCTGCCGGGCAGTACCATTCTGTTTTTTAAACAGAGTGTCATCTGTAACTGGCCTCTGTTCAGATAACTTGTATCATCTTCTTTCTCAGATATTCCACTGTTGAAGGTTTCAAACATATACAAAGTAGAGAAACAGTATAATAAACACTGTATATTCGTCACCCAGTATAAAAAATTGCCAACTCAGCACTGGCTGGCTAGCAATTATTTGTTGAAGAAACAGAGTTTTATGTCTTATAGAGGTTTTTTTTTTTACATTCTGATTGTGTATTGTTGAAAGTATTACAGATATCCCCCCTTTACCCTCTTCTGATGGTGTCTTTATGGTATTTAATATAATCCTCTGTCCACCTTATTTCCTATAAATCTTCCTAGAGAGTTTTAAATTATGCTAATATTCAAATATTCTATGATAATCTGAATTTTGATGTAAGGCAGTTTGGAGTTTTAGATGCAGAAAAAAGATTTTATTTCCTCTGTACCTAAAGGATAATCTTCAGAAGTACATCTCCTTTCAAAACTAACACAATATATTGCTTTAATTTATTATCTTAGTCCCCAGAAGACCACGTCTTTGCTTAGCTGTGTCTGTGAGACCCAGCAAGAGGATGAGGCTCAAAGTCAGGATCCCTGCTCCACACCCACCAGGTGAGCATTATTTTCACTACATCTTCTGGACTGTATTTATATTGATTCATAAAATGGTGGTACCAAAATTTAGAATATAGTGCTACTGTTTTGGAACTTGAGTTTACTCTTTTATCTGAGGGACTATAGCATATTCTAGATGGATTTATAAAGATTTATAGTCATGAGAAGTTTTTGTTTTAAAAAATATATATTTTTAATTGATTTCAGAGAGGAAGGAAGAGGGAGTGAGAGATAGAAACATCAATGATGAGAGAGAATCATTGATCAGCTGCCTCTTGCATGCCTCCCACCGGGGACTGAGCATGCAACCCAGGCATGTGCCCTGACTGGGAATTGAACTGTGACCTCCTGGTTCATAGGTTGATACTCAACCACTAAGCCATGCTGGCCGGGCTATAGTCATGAGAAGTTTTATTAAGTAATTTATAGATACAGATTTTTGTCTTTATCTGCCAGTTCTAACAACTTAAAGTGATTAAGTCTTCATATATTTATGAAACTATTATTTTATATTTTCAAGATTCTCTTTTTCTTAGGTTTGGAAATGTTTATTTCTAACAGATTTTTAATTTCTGTTTAGTTTCCCATAGCAAAACTGAGATAATGCTTAACATCCCAGAATAAAAAATATATTTTTTATTGATTTTAAAGAGGAAGGGAGAGGGAGAGACAGAAACATCAATATTGAGAGTGAATCATTGATTGGGTGCCTCCTGCATGCCCCTTACTGGGGATTAAGCCCAAAACCCTGGCCATGTGCCTTGACCTGGGATTGAACTATGACCTGGTTCATAAGGCTTAACACCTCAGATTTAGTTTGTTGGACTGATGAAATTAAGATTTTTCCATAATTTCTTTACTCCATAATTTCTTAGAACAGATTTGAAGCAGAAAAAATTTTTTTCATTTATAAAATATTTCTTTGCTATTGATATAATTGTAGAGTATTTATTTAGAATATATGAGTCCTACATTTAGTATAGGGAAAGCAGTAATGACAATGAAAATAAGTTTTTATTTTCATTATGATATATGATATCTGTCATTTCTGGAATTTAGTGATTTTATAATTAGAGAATATAATAATGTTTGTCACTAGGTATCTTATAGTGTTATTTGCAGCATAATTTCTGTATTTATTGATAGAAATATTTAGAAGGAACATGTCAGTGCTTTTCATTCTGATGATTAAATGTGAACTTGTTGGTATTGTTGGGAATCAGCTAGCCCAGATTATATCCTCTATTATATCAAGAAGCTTGTTGGGTGAAATGTCACTTTGTGTTGGTTCCAAAATCAGTGTGGTAATGGCCAGCAGTTACTAAATTTATCAATGGCATTGCATTGCCTGTCTGTCTATTAGACTGTCTTACAATAGGCCCAGTGCCGGTGCTTGTGTGTAACCTTGGTAGAACAGGGCCTGCAAATCCAGCTGGATTTGGCTTCAGTTGCTCTACAAACAGATCTACACCGAGAACAGAATGATTAGAAGTTTGTTAAATATGAAGATGTATTCTTCTCTGTTTCACTTAGGATTAATTCTGTCCAGGCTTTTTCTGCTAGAATTTCTTAGCATCAGTTTCTAAATCTGGCATATGGTGACCAGAATAGAATTGTGTAGCTGGAAATAATGAAGAGAGAGAGGTGTGGTCCTTCTTACAGTATATTGGATTTCTCGTGTCTTCTAAAATTTTGTTCTGGTGCTAAAGATTTCTTCTTTTTTGTTTCTTGGGACATTAATATATACATTCATGGTAGATATTTCTCAGTTGCTTTATGTCTACAGAAATTTTGAACTTGTTAGGAGTGGGCAACACTTTTTGCAGTATGTGTTGTAATTAAACTTTTGGTTTTTACCTGCTGTTCTATGTTGGCCTTAATTAGCAAATCTTGCCAACCAAAACCATACACACACACACACACACACACACACACACACACACACACACACACTCTAGAAGCCCATTGCATGAAGAGATTCATGCAACAGGCCTTCCTTCTCTTGGCTTCCAGCACCTGGTTTCCTCTGGCACCTGGGACCCAGGCCTTTGCTTTGGCCAGAGTCTGCCTTCTTCATCTTTGCTGCAGACTCCACCTGGAGTCTGCCGTCTTTGTCTTTGCTACAGACTCTGGAGTTTGCCATCTTGTCTTCTATGCCACACTCCCCTCCTGTAGATCCCTTTGCCCTCTGCCCTCCCTCTCATAGCAGGTGTCCTGCCCCACCTGGCCACTCTGCCTGGAGCAGCTGGGTGGCCGCCATTTTTGCCCTTCTAATTTGCATACTTACTCTGATTGGCTGTGGGCATAGTGGAAGTATGGTCAATTTGCATGTTTGTCTATTATTAGGTAAGATTATATGATCCTGGGTGGGTAATGACTATGATTTTAACCTCATGTCATTTGACTGATGCTAATATGAGAAATATACTAAATAAATACCAAAATTTGGATATTTGATAGAAGTCTGCTATATATTGCTAATATTGCAATGAGACACGTTTAGTCTTTAAAGAAAGAATTCTTCTGATTAACTCTTTGAGGGGGAAAAAGCAGTCTTAATATTTATTAATTAATAATAAAATGTCTTGCCCTAACTAGTTTGGCTCAGTGGATAGAGAGTCGGCCTGCAGACTGAAAGGTCCCAGATTCGATTCTGATCAAGGGAGGTGTGCAGGAGGCAGCTGATCGATGTTTCTCTCTTCTTAATGTTTCTAACCCTCTATCCCTCTTTATTCCTCTCTGTTAAAAAAAAAAAATCAATAAAGTATATTAAAAGAATAAAATGTCTCAAAACAGGGCTTTGCTTTAGAAATGAATATCTGTTCAGAAGTTTTATCCTAAATAAGCAGCTTATGAAGTGAACTGTGTAGCAGGCTTGTTTATGTTTATGGTTGGGGAACAGTGATAACTGAATTCTTAAAATGGTTAATCCAGTAATGTCCCATCTAGTTTTTGACTCACTTTCATTATTGCTTAGCCATTAATATGTTAGTTATCTTAAAGATTCAAACATGAGTATTCAGTTTATAAAGAAGATGAATTACATATTCTTAATTGCTTTGTCTCTTGCACCTAATATTGTTTGAACATCTGTATTGTACCTAGTACTGTGCTAAATCATTTTTAAATAAGATCACTTATAAACATCATTAGAGATAGATGTTACTAATCTGTCTCCTGGTGGTCTTATTCTTACCTCTTCATTGAATCACATATTTCATTCATTTGAGGTTTCTGACACCCAGAACACAAAATATAACAAATATATTCCAGGCCCTTGGTTAGAACTCTATTCTAAATCCCTCTTTGACTTCCAGTTTTTTGGTGTGTTTTTTTTTTTGTGTGTGTGTGTGTGTGTTTTAAATATATCTTTGTTGATTTCAGAGTAGAAGGGAGAGGAAGAGGGAGATAGAAATATCAATGATGAGGGAGAATCATTGATCGGCTGCCTCCTGCACATCCCATACTGAGGATCGAGCCTGCAACCCGGGTATGTGCCCCAGTCTGCAGGCCGACACTCATCCACTGAACCAAACCAGCTAGGACTAACTTCCAGTTTTGATAAACATGATAGAAACCTCAGAAACCTCTCCTTTTCCCTTCAAGGTTCAGAGCAGAGCAGGCCCTATGGTAAAATCTCCTCCCAAGTTGGAGACCTCTCCACCTTTCTCTGGTCAAACGCTTACAGCAGCCTACGACATAGTTTGCAGGTCCTTTATCATCCTGTATGTTGTCTTTTGGGTGTATCTCAGTTTATGCATTATAAAATACTAGATGCACGGATTCATTAGTTTTGTAGTATACTTATTCATTTGAAATTGTAACTTACTAAGAAGATAAAGGTTATGGACTTTTTTTTTTTTTAAGGTATGAGCATTTTCTACATGAATTTGCTAATTATACAATTAGCTTATTTAATCAGAGTAACTTTTTGCAGTTAACCAGTTGAGAGGACATGAATTCTTTTGTTTAAAATACATTTATTAGATACTTAACTTTATATTAAGCCTCACGTGGCGGGTGTTTAAAGTATAAACTTGAATAAAACACGAATGTCAAGTTTCTGTGTAACCTGCTCACTTGGAGTTAATCTGGGTCTTTTTATTCTGGCGTGTTATTAAGGACATTTAAAGCCTGAACGCCTTAGAGCTTCATGCTACCTGGTTTGCAGGAGACATTCATCAAATGCTGTGAAATGAATAAGTCACTGACAGCCAAATGTGTGTTTACTTGACATTATTTCTTTATGTGGTTGATTCTCAGGGGGAACTTACTCCATTTTCCAAGCACTGAAGATGAAGAAGAGAAGGAAGAATTGGAAGGTGACCAAAGGACTGGGCAGCATCAACAAACTATGAAGCCCAGTAGCCCTGCCAAAGACCCTGCGCCTCCTGCCTCCCAGCAGATGGCCACAAAGGAGCCATCCAGTCTGCAAGAGGAACCGATGGAGATAGATGTGCTAGACGGACAGAAAGAAGGGTGGAATACCAATCAGGAAAAACCTAGTAAGACCTTGATTGCAAGGCCCAGCCAAAATAACATAGGAATTCAGACCATAGAGCCTTTCCTAAGGATCCCAGACACTGTTTCAGCAGCAACCCAGACTGTAAAAAACGTGTGTGATCAGGGGACCAGTACAGTGGATGAGAACTCTGGAAAACAGGATGCCACAGTTCAGACTGAGAAGGGGACTGGTGAGAAACCAACCAGTGCTTCTGGGGATGACACAGAGTCACTCCATAGCCAGGTGAGAGAATTGCCGGGTACTCAGGGGCCTGCTTTCCACTTCCTGGGTTCCCAGAAAATTGAGTTGTGGTACTTTTACCTAATGATAATCCTTCATAATTTTGTACAGACCAGTAATCAAAAGACAAAAACAATTTATTCAGAATAGAAAGAGGGTAGTGAAAATTATGGGTAGCTGTAGCTCAATCAATGGTCTTTTAGGGAAAATGGAATAGTGCTAGCGTTTGTCAAGTAGGTCTTTACTTGAAAAGAAAGCCAGGAATATAGCCTGGGTCCTATATTCTTTTAAGTTGTTCAGTCTTTTCCTTCCCTCTGCTATCACTTTGTAGCCTTCTTTATAACTATCAGAGCTAATTGCGTTTCCTCCAAGTTTATTTCACCATGGTTCTTAGGCACTGAGAGAGTAAAATATAAAGGAGGAAGGAGTAGAAGCATGAAAGATAGTGTATCACAGTATTAGAGACAAAGAATAGTAACAGGAATAAAGAGAGATGGATGGGCACAAGCCTCTAGGTGACTAGGGACTGCAGAGAGGCTCAGACTAGACTTAATGGGAGGAAAAGCTCTGGGGCTGATGAAAGTGAGGCTGGAGGAAGAACAGGTTCTTGGGAACAGAGTAGGGAAGTAGTTCCTAGTTATTGAACACCTGCAGTAGGTCAGCACTGTGCTCAAGACAACCCGTGAGGTTAGTATCATTATTCCCATTTCACAGGTAAGGGAGCCAAGCTCAAGAGAGGTTAAGTAACTTGCCCATGATTTTGCCGTCAGTAGGTGGCAGAACTGGAATTTGAACTCAGCATGTCTACTTCAAAATCGGTATTCTTTTCATTAAGCTGTGTTGCTTTTCTATTTTTTAATCATGGCCTGTGTAGTCTTGTTCTGTCTATCCTTGCTTCTCCTAAAACTGTTTATATTAGACTTCCATAGTAACACAGTGTGAGATCTAAGACCTTACCAATTCATATAGATTCAAATAGCTATAGTCTTTTGAATATAGGGATTATTAGCATATTAGATCCCATTTTCCGTCTGTTTATTTTTACCCTTAAAATGTTTGCATTCTGTTGCATAGTTTTGGTTTCTCTGCTTTTATAAAAAGTTAAAGATAGCAATCATGTGGAAGCCACTGTTTTATATTTTCCTCTTCTTCCTCATATTCTATTCTCTAAAATAGGGAAGCAATCCCTTCTCCTGCCTAGCTCATCATGATGATAGGAGCCAATGAGTCAGTATGGTTAAGGCCCACGCTTTGGAATCAGATCACCTCATCTGAATGTTGTGAGGATTAAATGAGATAAGGCACGCAAAGCCCCAAGTTCTGGGCCTGGCACATAGTAAGCGCTCTATCATTGTTGGCTGCTGCTGTCACTACCACAAGCACTGCTGATACTTGAGTATTATACTCCTGTGTCATGCAGAGTGATGTAACAGTTAAGAGCTGGTTGCTTATGCTAAGGAAAAAAAAAGATGCTAAAAAAAAACGATAGAGGTGAATGGGAAGAGTTTTATTTGGGAAAGATGAACAAGTTCATGGTGATGTTAGCACAACAATGTGAATAGAAAAGAGGTTTTCCAGGTGTCAGAGCTTTGTAACTCCCTGTAGTCTGGGTAGGACTCAGGCCAGTGCGTAGAGAATAGTATAGGCAGCTACCTTTGACACTTTAAATTTTCAAGTGGGTCTGGAGCCAAGATTTCTATGAAGGGAAAGTATGGTTTTTCATTTTATCTTAGTAATGACAAAATTCTCAAGTTATTTTATCTTTTTTTTTAAATGTATTTTTATTTAGTATTTCAAAGAGGAAGGGAGAGGGAGAGGGAGAGATAAAAACATCAATAATGCCCTGGCCAGTTTGGCTCAGTGGATAGATCAGTTGGTTCAGTGGATAGATCAGTTGGCCTGTGGACTAATGCTTCTCTCATCGATATTTCAAATTCTTCCTCTCCCTTCCTCTCTAAAAAAAAAAAAAAAAAAAAAAAAATCAATAAAATATACTTAAAAAAAAAAGGAACATCACTGATGAGAGAGAATCATTGATCAACTCCTTCCTGCCCCACACTGGGGATCAAGCCTGCAACCCAGGCATGTGCCCTTGACCGGAATCGAACCCAGGACCCTTCAGTCCTCAGGCCGACGCTCTATCTACTGATCCAAACTGGCTAGGGCAAGTTATTTTATCTTTACAGAGATCACTTTTCAGAAGACTATTTAAAGAAAGAATAAGCATAGCTCTCCTTTTATCTGCCCCTAACCCTTCTTTCCTTTCTTATTCTATCAGACATGTAAGTGTCTCTCGTGTAGTTGTCATTTGTCTGGGTGTTGGTAATGGAAGAGTTAGAGGGAGGCTTCTTGGCCACAGTTCAGGGAATGTAAAGCTCCGAGACCTTTCAGACCCTGTGATCCAGGCCTGACTGTATGTGCCCAGCAAGAGGTCCAGGCTGTCATGGTTTAATGCAAGGGCCGCTGGCGATTGAAGTGTGACAGAGCAATGCTCCGACCATTCACTAACCAGAGTTGTATGTATAGAAGTATTTAAGGAATTGGTTGAGTAACATTCCATGCTTTTGATTTCATTTTTATTTATTCACATAATTTACATAGCTCATTTTAGTACATATTTTACCTCTAAGATAGGGTTGGAGTAGGAATTATTCAGGCAAATTATTGAAAGTTGTAGGTAACTTATCACCACATTGTCATGAAACACCCTGAATCACCATTATTGCAGCGGTACATATAATTCTTTGGAAAGACTTGGGTATTTGCACTGACTACTGAAAGTACAATTAGTCTACTATAGAGGAAGTAAGGGGAGAGAAAAAGTGTGCATTTCCTCTTCAGAATTACAGACCCAGTGGATACAGGGGAGGATGTGAATGTGGATAAATGTGATATAGGAGTTATGAGAAAACATGTATGTAACATTGTCTTAAAAATGTAGGTCTTAAACTATTTAACTATTATTTACTAGAGGCCTGGTGCATGAAATTCATGCACTCGGGGGTGGGGGATGGGTGTCCCCCAGCCCAGCCTGTGTCTTCTGGCTGCCCAGGAGCCCTTGGGGGATGTCCCACCACTGCCACTGCACTCACCAGCCATGAGCCTGGATTCTGGCTGAGCAGTGCTCCCTCTGTGGGAGCACACTGACCACCAGGGGCCAGCTCCTGCAATGAGCGTCTGCCCTCTGGTGGTCAATGTGCATCAAAGCAACCAGTTATTCTGCTGTTCAGTCAATTTGTATATTAGCCTTTTATTATATAGGATGGTATGACTAGATCAGCGGTTGCCAACTGCTGTTAGGTCCAAAAGGTTGGCGACTACTGATCTAGATGCAAAATCCTAATTTTCTGATATTTTCTGTTTCTGGACACTAGTTCAGCTCTTTAGTTATAATATATTATTTGGGATAGGTTCAATATTTTATATTTAATTCTAGGATAAATCAGTGTGTCTTGTTCCAGGTATAACTCAACTATAGTTTTATTTACTAATGCTGGTAAAAAAGACTGCACTGAGATCAACAGATGCCAGTCTGGTTTACGTAAAGTCCTAAAGAATGCCTTTAACTACAGAGCTGTTTCAAGTATAAACTTGTAAAAGTCAGCATCAAAATCAGAAAGATCAAAATTTAAAATCAATGTATTTTTAGGCGATCAAAGTTTTACTTAAATATCTTAAGTATAAGTGCTAGATGTTATGATTTTGATTTAGACAGGAAGAGGTCATTTTTGGTGACACTGATACAGATTCTCCTAGCCTCTGGCTGTAAAGGTGGTCCATCCCTGTTTTTATCTCTAGGTGAGTGCAAAACAAAGGAGCTGGAAAACTTTGTCCACCAGGTTCATGGAACCTCTGCAGAGTGTTCATCTTGAAGAAGTTGACTTGCCGCTCTGCCAGTTTGCAGTGAGACCCATGTTTGTCTTCCGCATTTGCCTCCACAGGGTGAGGAAGAGCTCGATATGCCTCAGCCTCCACGTGGCCATGTCGTGCATCGGCACATGAGAACAATCCACGAGGTTCGCACGCTTGTCACTCGTGTCATCACAGATGTGTATTATGTGGATGGAACAGAAGTAGAAAGAAAAGTTACTGAGGTACTATATACTGTGGGTCTATGTGGCAAATTTCTTTCAATAGAAAAATTACTCTTTCACTTCATGCCACATCCCCAAGCCCCTTTCCTGAGCATCTAGGTACTAAAATACTTTGTTACCCTCCATTTTTAAAACAGAAATATGTAAGAACCAGCTCAGAAGCTAAGAGTCCTGAATTCTGTCTTTTCCAACCATGGGTTTGCTGTTGACCTTTGGCTGGTTATTTAATCAGTCCCATCATGTTTTCCGTTTTTATAAAGAATAGATGGATAAATCTCTGTTATAAATAAATATAAAGATTTCATGTATTATTTTTATCTTTGGAAACTAATGAAATTTAGGATTTCCTGCTAGGCTGCATATGTTTTCTCAAAGTTTATCATTGCTTTCTCACATGTTTCATATTTATTCATGTGTCCTTTCCTGGTCTTCATCAAATGTGGTTATGGAACTGTTGGTAAGCCATGTACCTTTATGGACTCACTCCCAGTGTCAGCATAATATTAGCATTTATTGATTATTATATTGGACAGTGTTATGTGCTGACTTTGTTTACAACTAATATTGAGATTAGTCAGATTTTATAACTGGCACCTTTCTTGGTTTATATGTTAGTATTTGGGAACCATTTTATTTCATTGATAAGAGGCACAGCTATTTTCTTCCTTCACTCAGGCACTTTGGTTTAATTCTGCCAGTTTAGTTATAGAGGAAGCTATACTCGGAGAATTAAACTATGGTATATGGTTTTATTAAATAAAATATATTATTGCTATTGTTTATTAATGGGCCATTGTGGCTCTCATGTCAGAAAGCATTTGACATTAATTTGAGAAATTGTCTTACATTCTTTATTTATTGTATTCCAAATAATAATCCAGAAATATTTCTTTTAAAATGTTGATTCATCTTCAATTTTATATTTGCATACTGTTTTTCAATGTTATTACTATTTTGTAAAAATTATGAACTTAGAGCTTTATAGAAAAATAATTTGCTTTCATGTAAAGGTTTTGTAACTGTTGCAGTTACAATGAACTCTGTGCCAGGTGCTATATCAGGTGTTACACGTATTACTTAATTGGTTATATGGTGCTGTGTAGAGTATATTTCTGGAAACAGCAGGCCTCCCAGATACTCTGGGAGAAAATAGAGTTCCATGTCATAAATATTCCTTAATGTAATATTTATCGTACCCCTATGGAAAACATTGCCATAATTACAATAAATAAAAGAATGGTAATGACTAACACTTAAAGAGCACTAACTATATGCCAGGCACTAATTTAAATGATTTAATGTATTTAATCTTCAGTTAGCAATGACATAGATGTTGTTATTCCCATTTTGCAGATGAAGAAGCTGAGGGGCAGCGAGTTAAAATAAATTGCTTAAGGCTACATAGCTAATAAAGGAACTGGAGTTTAATCCAGACAGTCTAGTTCTAGAGCCCACCTTCCTAAGCACTGCACTATGCTGCCTTTTTTTTTTTTTTTTTTTTAATATATTTTATTGATTTTTTTACAGAGAGGAAGAGAGAGGGGATACAGAGTTAGAAACATCGATGAGAGAGAATCATCGATCAGCTGCCTCCTGCACATCCCCGGTAGGATGTGCAACCCATGTACATGCCCTTGACTGGAATCGAACCCGGGACCTTTCAGTCCCCAAGCCGACACTCTATCCATTGAGCCAAACCGGTCTCGGCAGCACTATGCTGCCTTTTAAAAAATATATATTTTTATTGATTTCAGAGAGGAGAAGAGAGAGAGAGAGAAAAAAAAAGAGAGAGAGAGAGAGAAACATCAATGATGAGAGAGAATCATTGATTGGCTGCTTCCTGCACGCCCATATTGGGGATTGATCCTGCAACCCCAGCATATGCCCTGACTGGGGATCAAATCATGACCTCCTACTTCTGTGGTCGGCAAACTGCGGCTCTTTGGCTCCTTGAGCGTGGCTCTTCCACAAAATACCACAGCCTGGGCGAGTTTATTTTGAAGAAGTGGCATTAGAAGAAGTTTAAGTTTAAAAAATTTGTCTCTCAAAAGAAATTTCAATCATTGTACCTTTGATATTTGGCTCTGTTGACTAATCAGTTTGCCGACCACTGTCCTAGTTCATAGATCAATGCTCAAGCACTGAGCCACACCAGCTTCGTTATTATGCTGGCTTTTAAGACTGAAAGTGATGTATTCCGAAAGGAAGAAGGGAAATTTTCATAAAAGCTGTCTGGATGATGGCCAAAGGTTTTTGAGTTGTATACTGAAGGCTTAGGATATTGGAAGATAAGGGAAGGGCATTCTTATACAAGGCTTGATGAACAAAGGCAGAGAAGCAGAAAGTAGAGAAAACACAGGTGTGAACAGTCTAATTGGTGTGCAGCACAAAGATGTGTAGTGGTGTGAAGGTGGACAGGTTGAGGTCAGAGGATTCTGGGAACTTTCCTTCCTTCATCTCTTATAGCCCTTGTTTATCATATTATATTTTAAAGATTTTATTCATTTATTTACCAGCAGGTTCTTTTTACTAAGATCCTAGAACTATGGTAGGCACTGAGAGTATGAAGATAAAAGGACAGGGTCCCTGTTCTCTCGGAGTTTACACTTCACATGCAACGAACCCAGAACTTGTTGGCTGCTGTAGTGGAGGGGTGGAAAGCTGTGTGAGGAATAGGGATGGAGTCCACTGGCCTACCTGAATATGTAGTGCTCAAGAGTGTGGCAAATAACATTTAGGGTTGGAGGAGAAGGACAGTGCAGGCAGAAGTAAAAGTTAGGTAAATATGTAGGTGGCATGGCATGCTTAATGAATTTTTAGAAGCTCAGTATGACAAGAACAGTAGGAAAGTGAATACTGAGAGAGGATGTTGTTGAGGTTGTTAAGGGCCTGAGCATAAGGACTCCGTGAATCAAGAAAGATATTTAGATTTTATCTTCTTTGTGATGGAGAGCCATTAGAGAATTTGGAGGAAAAGAGTGATATACTTAGATTAGAGTTGGACACTGAAAGTTTTATATACTGGGAGCTAAGGGGAAAGGACATCTGTATAGAAGGCTCAGTGAGCAAAGATACCATTGTTATTCATTAGAGGCTTAGTGACGAATTCATGCATTAGTGGGGTCCTTGGTGTTGCCTACCAGATTCGACTGAAACCAGCTTCTGAGATCCCCCTAGGGGTCCTCGATTGCAGGAGGGAGCAGGCAAAGCCCAGGGACCCCACCAATACACAATCAGGGCTCGGGAGGGACACGGGAACTTGGCCAGCCGGGGAGGGACTGCAGGAGGGCTCCAGGCTGTGTCCGGCCCATTTTTCTTAGTCCTGATTGGCCAGACCCCATTAGCAAGCTAACCTACAGGTCAGAATTCTGCCCCCTGTGGTCAGTGCATGTTATAGCTACTGGCTGACCAGTCGACTGCCCCCTGATGGTCAGTGCACATCATAGAAACTGGTCGACTGGTCAACTATTTGCCCCCTGGTGGTCAGTGCATGTCACATTGAGTGGTTGAATGGTCTTGGCATATCATTTGCATATGACGCTTTGATTGGTTGAATGGATGACCAGACAAGTTAGCATATTAGGCTTTTGTTATATACAATAAAATGCATGTTGGGGCCGAAACCGGTTTGGCTCAGTGGATAGAGCGTCAGCCTGCGGACTGAAAGGTCCCAGGTTTGATTCCGGTCAAGGGCATGTACCTTGGTTGCAGGCACATCCCCAGTAGGGGGTGTGCAAGAGGCAGCTGATCGATGATTCTCTCATCGATGTTTCTAACTCTCTATTCCTCTCTCTTCTTCTCTGTGAAAAAACAATAAAATATATTTTAAAAAATGCATGTTGGGTAAGTTAGATTTGCAATAGTGTAAATGGATTGGAGTGCATTGAGTTTAGAGGCATAGTCAGACAGGAAGTAATGAATGTCACATTAGGACAGTGGCAGTAAGAGTATGAGTAGATACAAAAAATACATAGACTGGGAATTCCTGAATGTGGGGATTGAGGGAGAAGAAAGAAATCATATTAGAATCATATTAAATGTCTGGGCTTTTTACCATATACTGAGATAGAGAATATAAATAGGACACAGTTTGAAAGAGAAGATCCTATTTCAATAAATATTTACTAAGGGCTTCTTCTGTAGAAGGTACTATGCTAGATTTGGGGGATATGTCTTGGAAAGAAGGTAGTTCTGATCTTTGTCTTCATGTGGCCTCTGTGACTTACATCCATCAAATGACCTCACCAGCAACTCCCAAGTGTCCTGTTCTAATTACCACCATTAACTGTTATTATATACTGGGAGCTAAAGGGAAAGGGCATCTGTATAGAAGGCTCAGTGAGCAAAGATACCATTGTTATTAATTAGAGGCTTAGTGCCTCTATATAGTAGGAGAGATATACAGGAAAACAAGTAAGCAAATACATCGAAAACATCATAGCAGGACAACTTGGAGCCTGGGCCTAAATCATATATTGATAAAAGCAATAACTTTGATTGCTGGACAGTTGCAAAGGCAGGCATATCTGGCTACTGCTTTTTGAGCTGCTCTCTAACTGAAACACACCTGGAGTCCCAGCCTTCTGTGCAGACCTTTCCCCTACAATTTGCCATGACTAGGAGAAGAAATTAATTTACATTCTGGGTTCACAACAGCTGTCTCAGTCAAACGACCTTGGCAGATGATGCTGACCTGACCCAGCTAGAGCAGTCAAGTTGGTGATTGAGGGCATGTTTTTGATTGAGATTTCTGGAAATGGTGCAGTTTGTTATTGACCCTAGTAACAGATGGACGATGTAGAGTAGAAGAAACAGTTAATGGTGGTAATTAGACCAGGACACTTGGGAGTTGCTGGCGGGGTCATTTGATGGATGTAAGTCACAGAGAATGATAGCAGAAGTAGAGGTGGGGAAGGAAGAGAGGCTGTGTACCAGGAGTTGAGGTGTTCATACTTGAGAAGAAGTGATTGGAGGGTGTTGGTGAGTAACAAGGGAAAGGGGGAGGGAAGTTTAACAGAATGACAAATAGTGGCTTGGTAGGAGAGAGGGACGGGAAAGAGAAATGGTCTATTAGAGGCAAAAGGGAGTAAAGCGGCCTCTCATCTCCATACTCTTGAATTGAGGTTTGATTGAGAAAAATCAGCCTCTGCTGGAGAGAGCTGCAGAGAATGCAGGTCACTGGGGATAGCCAGGGTTCACTCATCGAGGCAGGAAATGGACAGATTTGGGTGTTGGATAGGTTAAATTTCAGATGTCCTTGGGGATGAGCTTAGTAGGCATTTGCATCTGAGAGTTTGGAGCTGAGTGATCATTGTGTTGTGGATAGTCAGGTATGGGTCTGGTAAGACTAGCCAGGGAAAGATGGAAGAGTGGGAAAAGAGTCTTGGGAAATACCAATTTTAAAGGAATAAACTAAGGAAGAACCCAAATACAAACATAAATCAAAGTAGCCAAAGGGTTAGAATGAAAGGAAGAGAAAATGACTTAAAATTCTAAAGGAGGACTTATTTTCAAGAAGGGAATGGTCCAAATATTTATTTAGTCATATCATAGCATTATTTAAAAATGTGTGTTCATACTGTCTCCCAGAAAGATTGCAAGCTTTCTGAGGGAAGAGTGTATTATACACACACGTGCACACACACACATACACATTTTTATCCTTATCCGAGGATATTTTTACATTGATTTTTAAAGAGAAAATGGAAAGAGAGGGAAAGACAGAAATAACAATTTGAGAGAAACACATTGATTGGTTGCCTCCTGCATGAGTCTTGCTTGACCAGGGCCTGGGAGGAGCCTGCACAGAGGTACATGCCCTTGACCAGAATCAAACCTGGGACCCTTTGGTACACAGGCTGACACTCTATCCACTGAGCCAAACGGGCTGGGGCTGTTTTTTGACAGTTAATACAATAATGCACTAGAGCAGAAAGGCAGATGTGCAGCTCCTGTCAGCAATTTCTCAGTCCTGTAACACAGGAGACATGGCTGATTGGTTATAGAACCTCCTCCCATGAGCCTGGGAATTAGCCTTGGAAGGCTGCTTACCCTGGGCTCCATCAAAGGGGGCATGTGAGATAGTCATTTTGACATTTCTGTCCTCTAGAGTTACTGAAAACTCATATATTTTTATTATCTTTTTATCTTAATTTTTAAAATAGTAATACAGCCCTAGCCAGCTTAGCTCAGTGGATAAAACGTCAGCCTGTAGACCGAAGGGTCCCAGGTTCAATTCAGGCTAAGGCTCATGCCTGGGTTTCGGGCTCAATCCCCAGTAGGGGATGTGCAGGAGGCAGCTGATCAATGATTCTCTCTCATCATTGATGTTTCTATCTCTTTCTCTCCTTCACCCTTCCTCCCTGAAATCAATAAAGAAATATATATATTTTTTAAATAGTAATACAATTTTTAGCCTCTAATTTTTAAATTTCCTTGATCACTTATTGAAAGGTAATATAAAATACCTAATGCCAAAGAAACAGGTAATGCTACCCCACTGCTAATCCAGTACCAGAATGGCTCCCAACCACTAATTTCCCTTCTCTGACCACCTACCTCCTTCCTTACCTGCCTTTCTGACAGGGACTCGCCTCTGTCCTCGGGGAAAGAAGCATTGCTGTTTCTTGGTAGCCAAAGGTTGTGAATTTGTCCAGTACAAAGATAACAGTTCAGGATAGAGGTCTCTCTCTTCCCAGTCTTATACCACCTTTATTTTTTGTATTTTTTATTATGCTATAATGTATTCTCTGTAGAATTTGTAGGTCTTATTCAGTTCAGTGGTTTTTAACAGTTATATGTAACCACTATTCTAAACAAGATGTAGAGCATTTCCATTATTCCTGATTTCCATCTTCCTGAATTGAAATTTCTTGCCATCTCTAGGATTTTCCATCCATCACATTAGCATTATGTTATTGTGGTCTCTTTTAGCTTTTGTATCCGTTTCTTCCTTGCAGGAGACTGAAGAGCCAGTTGTAGAGTGTCGGGAGTGTGAATCTGAAATTTCCCCTTCAAAGACTGGGGGCTCCTCAGGGGACCTGGGGGATATCAGCTCCTTTTCCTCCAAGGCGTCCAGCTTCCTCCGCACCTCCAGTGGGACGAGCCTCTCAGCCATTCACAGCAGTGGCAGCTCAGGGCGAGGAGCCGGACCTCTCAAAGGGAAAACCAGCGGGACAGAACCCGCAGATTTTGCCTTGCCCAGCTCCCGAGGAGGCCCAGGAAAACCGAGGTGCAGACAGGGTCCCCAGAGAGAGAGCCACAGCAGGGGCAGGGTTGCTGGCATTTTAAATATCACAGGAAAAGGGGAGTGATGGGAAAGCCCCATCCTCCACCTAGGATAAATGGGCGCCTTTTCTCCTCTCGTGTTCCTGTCCTACTCGGGGTTGGCCTGGGAGGTAGACTTCCTTAGAAAAGGTGGGAAACCAGGTGATGGGACTTAGACTATGCTGGCATATGCTCCTGCCACCCCCATTTCCTGCAGCCTACAGTGTTTTGATTGGGAATACAGAAAGGTTGGGGTAGTGGCCCAACTTGACACATCCCCTCGCTTTTTGTGACCCTCCGCAGAGGTCCAGAGCCGGAAGCAGAAGGGAAGGCAGGGCAGAGACACGGTGCTGGTTTTGAGGGCAGCAGCAGGAAGCTTTGTCAGGGGAACAGACGTGGTAGAGGAGCATGTCCTTTACTTGGTATCCGCGTTCCCGCTCCCCAGCTGGCACTTTGGTGGTGGGTGTGCACCAGCTTCCTGCTGCCCCGCCGTGTAGTGTGAGGGCCGAGGGGAGCTGTGGGGAGAGGCTTCAGGAGCAGGTGCCATCAGACTAACCTGTCTTCATTCTCTAGTCCTAGAAAAGGGGTCAGTCAGACAGGGGCGCCAGTGTGTGAGGAGGATGGTGATGCAGGCCTTGGCATCAGACAGGGAGGGAAGGCTCCAGTCACGCCACGTGGGCGCGGGCGAAGGGGCCGCCCGCCTTCTCGGACCACTGGAACCAGGTACCCGGGTAGTGTGAGACGCACTCAGTCTATGACTTGTTTAGAAAAAAAGGGCGAGGAGAGAAGAGAGGGGATTAGAGAGTGTGTGGGGTGCCAGGAGGGAGAAGAGGGGCCCACACTGACTGGGGAGCGGGCAGGGATCAGAGTGAGGCCGCTGAGAGAGCAGGCTTCTGCCTGTGACGGGGTTACCAAAGAATGGGCTGAAGAGACCCATGGACAAAGGAGCGGGAAGAGTGCTAGATACGTGTTCTCTCTTCTCATCCTCACTGCCTTCTCCTGTCTCTCGTTTCCTATTAGAGAAACAGCAGTGCCCGGCCCCCTGGGCATAGAGGACATCTCGCCCAGCATGTCGCCAGAGGACAAGTCCTTCACCCGGATCACGCCCCGGGTGCCAGACCCCGCCAAGCGCGCGGACACGGGCGCTGGCGCTCCGCACCGCAGCGACTCTCCGGAGATCCCCTTCCAGGCCGCGGCCGGTCCCTCCGACGGCGTAGACGCCTCCTCTCCGGGCAATAGCTTCGTAGGCCTCCGCGTTGTCGCCAAGTGGTCATCCAATGGCTACTTTTACTCTGGGAAAATCACACAAGACGTGGGAGCTGGGAAGTACAAGCTGCTCTTCGATGATGGGTACGAGTGTGACGTGTTGGGCAAAGACATTCTGCTGTGCGACCCCATCCCGCTGGACACGGAGGTGACAGCGCTCTCGGAGGACGAGTATTTCAGTGCAGGTAACGAAGGGAGCATCTGTGGAGCGTCCCGCTCCCGGCCGTCCCGTCCCGTCAGAAATTCTGGTCTTGCAACACTGGTTCGTTGCACCATTGGCTGTTTTGGTGATCTCTGTTGCTTATTTTTGAATAAAGATGTTATTTTGGAATAATTCTGTATCTACAGAAAATTTGCAAAGTACAGGGTACTGATAGTAGAGTTCCCATATATTTCTCACCCACTTTCTCTTAAACTAGCATTTGTCAAAACTAAGAGCCAATGTTGGCTTATTACTATTAACTGAATTCCAGACTTCCTTTGGATTTTGCCAGCTTTCCCATGTCCCTCTCTGTTTGAGGGACCAGGCCAGGGTGGCCACCCCATTGTATCGGGCCCTCGGGTCCTTCGATCGCCTCGTGGTTTTTATGACCTTGACAGTTATGAGGAGTTCTGGTCAGGTATTTTGTAGGATATTCGGGTTTGGGTTTGTCTTATGTTTTTTCCTGATTAGATGGGAGTTTGGGTTTTTAAAAAGAATGCTGCAGAGGTGCAGTTCCCTTTTCACCACATCACCCGGGGGCGGTGGGTGCGTGACCTCGCCCTGCAGCTCTGGGATCAGGTGGTGTTTGCAGGGAGGTTAGTGCTTCTCCCTTTCCATCCTCTGTTCTTTCCCCAGTGGCTTTAAACTCACTGCCTGCCCCGCGGGAACCTAGTGGATGAGTGTGGCAAGCACATTGCGGTACCTTTGCTGAAGAAGGAGTTTTTAGTGCCTGCACACCCACCACCTGCACACCCACCACTTGCTTTCTGGTTTGGACAATGTGCCTTTTTATTTTCAAGTGGCCAGTCCCTGTACTGGTGATAGGGAGAGATTTATATTTGTTATGAGTTTCCTGTGCCAGTTCTTTGAACATATTACCTCTTTTCTGTGAACTGAGTTGGAGATACATGTTGTATGGAGTTTGTATTTGAAATCATCCTTTCTAGGGATTTTTTTGGAACCTGAATTAGGATATAAGAGGCAAAATGCCTCCCAATTGAAATCTCTCCAGACTCTGTGGTTGGCATTCCTGAGTAGTCGGTGTTTGCCCCTGTACTTCAGTGTGAAATGGGCCACTTCACCGTCGGGTTCTGGCTGACACTTAGCTCTGGTGGCCTCCGTTTGTAGCAGGGGTTGAGGTCTTTTTGACCTGTGACCTGTGGTTTATGTCAGATGCAGTCGTTCTTCTTTCAGTGTAAAACCACTCTTGGACCCCACATTTGTGTCTGAGTGAATTACGGCATCAAGGGTGGGGACGCTGTGTCCCATTACGGAGGCTGTTGGTGTCAGCACTGCTCTGCTTCTGGGTCTAGCTCTTCGTTGGCGTGAGGTAGATGGTTGGCCTTGGGCTTCTTTTTGCTTTTGAGGGAATCTTTGTGATTTATGTGGTGATGGAGATCTAAGCCAGGAGAGGGACGGGCAGGAGAGAGAGATTCTGTGGCACACAGAGCGAGAGAACGGGCCTGTTTTCTTCTGTGTCGTTTTCCTTGGGGCTCAGGTTCTGGGTTTCCTTTAGTCATTCATTCAAGCATAGGCTAACGAAGAGAACAAATGGATCATTCTGTTTGTGGGAATGAAAAACTTTATATTAATTCCCTGGTTTTATATATGCATTATGTGTGTGTATGTATAAGTTATTTATTGCTTGATAGAGGGGAAGGTGTATTATCTTTTTCATAGGATTGGAAATGGATCTTGCCAAAGATTGCACACTTAGTGGTAGCAGAATTGGGCCTGGGTGCAGGTCCCCTCAATTCTAGCCCCGTTTCCTTTATATCCCACATTGTGCTTTTCTAACTAACCTAAAGGCCTTACCTTTAAGTTCTGAATCAGAGCAAGAGCAGGACCATAGATAATAGGGAAGTAAAATTAGGCAGGATTTATTTTTATCCTTTGTTTTATCTTTATTTTGATTTTGCTATACAGACATAAACACACAGACACATGCTCTCTCTTAGAATGTCATCTTTTACCTATAGCTTAAGAATTATTACTCAGCCTTGAAAGAAGCCAAGGATTAGTAGGCTATAATGTGATAATTAAGAAACCACAGGCCATTTCATTGCAAGAACCATTGAACCACCTGCAGCCCATGAAGGTGGGCTTTAGGAAGATTTATTTATCCTCACCTGAGGACATGCTTTTCCATTAGAGAGAGAGAAGAAGGGAGAGGGGGAGAGAGGAACAATAATGTGAGAGAGAACCATCAATCTGTTGCCTCCTGCATGTTCCCTGACCGGGAATTGAACCCACCACCCTTTGGTGCTTGGGACGATGCTCCAACTAAACAAGCCTCACTCACCAGGGTTCCTTCTGCTGAGAGACTCCCACGTCCGATGTCAGGGCCCTAGCTGCGTGTACCCTGAGCGGTGGGGTTTGAGATTGACGCCTGGGGTTTGTTAGAACGTGACTTCAGCCCACTGCGGGATCGCCTGACTTCGCACTTGGCCCGATCTGCAGAGCAGAGCCTTTGTGCGCGGCGCCGGGCAGCCGGAAGCAGCAGCCAGCTTCTCTGTGTTCTCTCCAGGCGTGGTGAAGGGGCACCGGAAGGAGTCCGGGGAGCTGTACTACAGCATCGAGAAAGAGGGCCAGAGGAAGTGGTACAAGCGGATGGCTGTCATCCTGTCCTTGGAGCAAGGAAACAGACTGCGGGAGCAGTACGGCCTCGGCCCGTACGAGGCGGTGACGCCCCTCACCAAGGCGGCAGACATCAGCCTCGGTGAGGCTGCCTCTGGTCCTGTGTGGGAGGGGCGGCTTCTGGAGCACTCAGCATCTCCCACGGCCTTCCTGTCCCCTGTGGCTGAGGGGATGGCGCGAGCTTGTCTTTATTTCCGTCCCAGGACCGAACGGTCAGTCCTCAGATTGTGCTGGCCCCCCAGGTCTGTTGGGGAACGAACAGACGCACACGCACACGCACACGCACACGCACACGCACACACACGGCAGAGACGGGAGCAGGAAGTACGGAGGCCTTGAGAGGCCTTTGCCGTGGGAGGGGGTGGAAGGTCAGGGGTATCTAGGTCAGGCCTGCCCATCTTGTTGGGAGTTCGGGGCTTAGAGAGAGAAGCTGACCTGCCCCTGGCTCTCCCGTCACAGACAATCTGGTGGAAGGGAAGCGGAAACGGCGCAGCAACGTCAGCTCGCCCGCCTCCCACACGGCCTCCGGCAGCAGCAGCACGACCCCCACCCGGAAGGTCGCGGAGAGCCCGCGCGCCGCCACCGGAGCCGTCTCCGGCAAAAGGAAACTCATCCCGTCCGAAGAGGAACGGTCCCCTGCCAAGAGAGGCCGGAAGTCTGCCACTGTGAAACCCGGTGAGGCTCCCCGCCTCCCCCAGACGGCGGCCCAGTGCAGTCAGCTGTGGGAGACAGGGTTTGGGGGCACCGTCTCCTCTTCCTGGCTCCGGGCTCAGACAGCTCCCTCCTCCGCCCCATTTCCCAGCAGAGTGCAGGGGGTGGAGAGAGGCAGTCTCGATCGGAAACATTAGTTGACTTCTCTGTAGGTTCTCGGAGGGAAAGGAAAACACTGAGTTTTAAGCAGATTCAAAATAGGTGAAATCCCAGCTGTTCAAAAAGGTGGAAATCAGTCTTTGATCTGATCTCTCCCTTCCCCGGCACCATCTTCTGCCTCTGGAAACGGCTTCCTTCTCACCTTCAGGCCTCAGGCCTGCATCTCCCTCTCCCTGCTGTCCCTCAGACAACCCCTTTCCGTCCTTCCGCTTCTTATTATTAGAGTTCAACCCACTTTTTATTGACCGAGTCTCTGTTGTGAGGCCCCCCCTCTGTGGGCTGTGGGAGGCAGAGGGCCCGGCTCAGTGCCTGCCCGGAGGGAGTCAGTCTGGCCGAGGAGGACGCTGCTGGGGTCACTGTCCGGCAGCCCGGCTCCCCTTTTCCTGTGTGTTTTCCTGTGACATCCCATCTGTCCAGCAGTCTGCCGAGCTTCAGGGCCTGTGGAGCGGGGACCTCCGTGCTTCATACACATTACCTCCCAGCATCCCCGTGAGCGACAGGTGCTGGAGTTCACCTTCCAGTTAGAGAATCTGAGGCACAGAAAAGTCTCCCAAGGTCACCCAGAACCCAAACGCAGGCCAACTGACTCCTACGTGCTGTGTCACCCTGTTCTCTTGCCGCTGGTTTTATTTTAGGGAGGCATGACCCGTCTGTCATCTTAGCCTCCTCATGAGCCTACGGTTCAGCCTCCGAGTCAGGTACTCGTTTCTTCTCGAGGATTCACTGGGTGCACTCGAGCACGGTGTCCGGGGTCCTGGACCGGCTGGTCACTCCCTCCCCGGGTGTTGGAAACTGGCACAGTTGAAGCAGGCTGTTTGATGTGGCTCCATCAATGTGTAAAAACACATTTACTACCAAGTACTCTATGCACCGTTTTGGTTGTAAAATATATAAGTAAGTTTGCTCTAGGTTGTGGGCCACAGGAATGAGCGGTCTTTGTGAAAAGTCCATCAGGACGTTGCCTACCCGTCTGTCACGCCCTGGCCGTGGTGTGTCCATCGGTAACCCCGCCTCTGTCTCTCAGGAGCCGTGGGGGCAGGGGAGCTCGTGAGCCCCTGTGAGAGCGGAGACAACCTGGGGGAGCCCTCTGCCCTGGACGAGCACCGAGGGCCTCTGCCTCTCAACAAGACCTTGTTCCTGGGCTACGCCTTTCTCCTCACCATGGCCACCACCAGCGACAAGCTGGCCAGTCGCTCCAAGCTGCCCGATGGTCCTTCCGGAAGCAGCGAGGAAGAGGAAGGTAAGGCCCAGGGAGACCCGGGGCTGGGCCACGTGCACGGCCTTCATTTCCCCTCTCTGTGCCTGGAGGTCCCAGCCCTCTGCAGCGCGGGCAGGACAGCTGGCAGCTGGGGTCTCGGTCAGGAAAAATTAATATAACCCCGATTCTTGGTTTACAGACTACTTTCACAAAATTCTTCTTAGCAAGTGGTTTCTCAAAACAATTCCTGGTAGGCGGATGGGAGATAGACCTTTTCATTTGTTTTACAGATGAGGAAACAAGCTTGGAGGTTAAATAACTGCTTTCTGTCATGGTAATGGCAGATTTGGGACTAGAACCCAGTGTTCATTTTACCTACTACAGTCTCAGGACAGGTTTCTGAACCCCATCTGTGTTCTAGGGGCAACTGCCAGAGAAAGCCCGCATTTGGGGGTGAGGGTGGGGGTGGGGGTAGACGACGGGTTCATTCTCTTGAGGTCTGGGTAAGACTGGAGCCATGGGGTGCCCAGGGCCCTGGGGGATTTCAGAGAAACTGCTTCTAGGCCTTTCAACTCCTCTACCTCTTCAACCTTAAGTTAAATGTATACATCATATTCTGTGTTGTCTGTTAGGGTTTGAGTGAAGGCTTCAGCGGGGAGAGGTAGAGTTATTTCAGCTGTGTGTGATCTAGGGGAGGGAATGGTCAGATACAAATGTATTTATACTTAGTAATTGGCGGCAGTATCTACATGTGGCTGTGAAGGCTAAGGTCCAGGCGGAATGATGCTTTCTACAAGGTCCATGTTCCGGCTGGTGCTGAGTCTTACAAAAGGGCACCCCGTCAGGGAGCCCAGTGACACGAGGGCACCGCTGCAGGTGGCGCTGGCCTTTCAGGTGTGGATGCCTCTTTCCTCACCAGCCAAACTGGCCCTTGGCAGCTGCAGCTCGTGGGGCTCTGCAGGGGACGTGGGGAGGGTGGTCAGGAAGCTGCAGGTAAGGTTCATGCTCCCTGGGAGGTGCTTAGCCAGAGTCGTCAGGGGAGAGGCTGCAGGGTGTGGAGTTTGAAGGTTAAGGGTACACCAGGCCTCGTCTCAGACAGGAGTCAGGTGGGTACCATGGGAGATAAGGTGTGTGAGGACTTTCCTAGCCAAGAAGGCGGTTTTACTTTGATCTAAGCCATTCGGAGTCCCTTGAGGATTCTGGGAAGAGGTTTGCCGTGCATCCCGTGTTTGTGGTCTTGCTTTCTTTTACTTTCACACTATTACTGGACTCTAGTCTTTATTCTCCAACACACTCCTCGGCCCTTCCTGGACCAGGACTTCACAGGCAGTTTTGTAGATGTTTTGTTTGTTGGTATATCATGGCTGAGAAAGCTAGTTTGGGTATGAATTGCAGACTGTCCAATTCCTTAAAAACCTGTGAGCCTGTGTGAGGTCTTAAAAACTCGACCCATAAAAATTCCTTCTGTTCTTCCTTGCTGGCACAGCAAATGTTTTAATCCCACCCTGTAACCATGAGTGAGGAGAGGTGGGCCTTGTGTAAATGAGGATGAATTTGGACAGTTTTTTAGGGATCTCATGGAAATCGTGGTCATGGTGAAAATGTCTGCTCTATGTTGGTCTTTCTCCCTGGACATTCTCCCAACTGTACCAAAATCCTTGATCTTTTTGGCGTAACAGAATGTTTAGAGGTTCCTCAATCTCAAGAAGCCTAGAGACACTTGCACTAAAACAACCCTGTGTAGTTTTTAAGAAACTATGTGATATGTTTTGCAGATAAATGGGAATCTCTTTGATGCCAGGAGCTCAGTAAAACATTTGAATTTAACTTGAGACATTTATTAAATATTTAAGAACATTGAACCCTGTCTTGGTAGGTGGCATACCATTGGGGACCCATCAGCCACAGGGAGTGACTCTGGAGTTGGTTTTATTTAGTATCCTTGTCCTTGATTTAAATGAGGGGATTAAAAACCTATTCATTTTAGCCTCTGGTTTGTTAGGGTCACTTAAATCCAAACGCATTCAGAAACAGAAAAATGGACTGCCTAGTCCTAGGTAATATTTGATCACACAAATGCAAGGAAATACAAGTGGTAATTAAATAGGTTAAGGCTAGAAACAGTGCCGGAGTAAGCAGACATAAGACATTGTCTTGAGAAAAGTAAAGGACCTCGGCAGGGACTCAGCACTGGAGTGGTTGGCACTGAAAACTGTGACATGATACATTCAGATGGGGCAAAGGATACGGTGACAAAACGGAGAAGTCCTCCTTTTGGAACATCCAGTTTGCTTTTGTTTTGAGAAAAATGTGGAGAGTGCTGAATCAAGAACAGAGCAATAAAAGTGAACAGGCTGGCCAGTCAGACCTACGCAAGGTGCAGAGGCCGGAGCTTGAGGCGGTAGCATTGCCGGGGGAGCTCTGGCAGGCAGGCGGCACCGGAGGGCGGGGAGCTGTCGCTGCAGGGTCTGCTGGGGATGGGGAAGGTCCTGGCATTGAACTTTCTGCATTTGGTTGGGTTTTTATTTGTGATATGTTGGCACTTAATTTCACAGAACCCCTAATTAACTAAAATTTCTAATGTCTTGCTTTTTTTTTTTTTTTTAATGTGTTATTTATATATGAGAGGAGCAGATGACAAGAAAACAAGCTCAAATTAGATATTGGGTCAAAAGAAGCGATTTCTAATCGCCTAGGGTCATTACAGCTTCAGCCTCATCTCTCATAACTCCTTCTTCACCCTCAAGACTGTAGAGCAGACACTGATGTTCAGTGTCCTGAGGTACTTCAAGATCATCAAAGGTAGATAGTTTTTTAAAAAAAAAAAAAAAAACGTTGAACAGGATTTTCAGCTAATCTTCACTTAATCTGTTAAATTTTAAAAACCCCAGTTTGAGCATTCTGGTTTATCAGTGTTTTAGTGTACAAGGGGTAAAAAAGCAGCTGAGGGGAGAATTTGAAAAGTGCTAGTCACTTACTCTCCACAAAAGGCAGAATTAGAGGCAGTGGGCTTAGTTTGAAGGAGACATGGGGTGGACATGAGGAAGAGCTTCCTGAGGGTAAAGTTCCTCACACCGGAATCGATCACTGTGGGAAGTGATTGCGTCCATCCCCCACGAGCAGTCTGATGACTCAGTCTTAGTCCAGAAATGCTTGATGTTTGTAGGCCTGGGACCTACCTCCGTTCTCATCTTCCCTGCCCCTTCTGCTGTCCCTTGGCAGCACTTTGTGGGCCTCAGGACAGATCTTTCTGAGCCACGGGGAAACCCTTGAGCTGTCTTTGGGATCTAGTGTCTGGACATAGCTGGGGAGGCAGAGGGGGCAGTAAGAAGCAGGCATAAAGTAGCAAATAAACCAACTACTAGTAATTGTTATCTTGATTGTCTTTCTTTTTTTATATAGAATTTTTAGAAATCCCTCCTTTCAACAAGCAGTACACAGAATCCCAGCTTCGAGCCGGAGCTGGCTATATTCTTGAAGACTTCAATGAAGCCCAGGTGAGGAGTTTCTTTGTGAAGCTTCCGGGCGCAGTGATGGGGCCACCGCTGTGCTGAGAGAGGCCCCAGAGGGAAGTAGCCGGAGATTTCAGGAACGGGGAACGGCCAAAGGTGGTTGTATGAAATAGAGTTTTTACTGTGCACAAGGAAGAGAAGTTGGTGTCTTGGGTTAATCTGCTGGGACAAAGCAGATTAAAATTGTGTTTAATAGAAATCCTTGTTACAATGTTTGACTCTTTGCCTAAAATGCTGGATGCACGGAGTTCGGTTGTCCTTCAGGATTTAGGCCCCCAGAAAGCTGCAGGAGGCGAGGAGAGCCACTTGGCCTTTCAGTGAGGAGGCCTTGGGCAGGAGGACAGGCTCAGTCATAATTTGGATTCTTGAACAATAAGGGATACAGGGGGCTGACCTGCCACACAGTGGAAAACCTACGTGTAACTAGGTGAGGCCTCCCCCTGGATTCCCAACAGCACAGGTTTGAACTGCGTGGGTCAATTGAACAAATCTGTACCCTTGTTGTTCAAGGGCAGCTGTGTCTGGGTGTTTGGATCTGTTCTCCGTGACATGGACTGTTGGGGGGCGTTGCACAGACATCTCCAGACCCATCAGTTCTGCTCCTTTTCTTCCAGTGTAACACGGCTTACCAGTGTCTCCTAATAGCGGATCAGCATTGTCGAACCCGGAAGTACTTCCTGTGCCTTGCCAGTGGGATTCCTTGTGTGTCTCATGTCTGGGTCCATGATAGTTGCCATGCCAACCAGCTCCAGAATTACCGCAATTATCTGCTGCCAGCTGGGTACAGCCTTGAGGAGCAGAAAATTCTGGATTGGTGAGTATTTAAGGGTCCACCAAGAATGTGGGAAGGAAGACAACAGCTTTGGGAGGACAAGAATCTAGAGAGTAAATATTTCTAGAAACTGGAATGATCACATGATAAGTTACAGACTTTGAATATGTTTGAGATTACTTAAGCAGTTCACCTAGTTTACTTCCTTAGGGTATAGTAGTTAGGGACCTTTTGAAAATGTGCGAGCAGCCGAAACCAGTTTGGCTCAGTGGTAGGGCATCGGTCTGCAGACTGAAGGGTCTCAGGTTCGATTCTGGTCAAGGGCATGTACATTGGTTGTGGGCACATCCCCGGTAGGGGGTGTGCAAGAGGCAGCTGGTCGATGTTTCTCTCTCATCGACGTTTCTAGCTCTCTATCTCTCTCCCTTCCTCTCTGTAAAAAATCAATAAAATATATTTTAAAAATAAAATAAAAAAGAAATTAAAAAAAAAGAAAAAAAAGAAAATGTGCGAGCATTTTCATATCAGTTCAATATTCTCAACCTATAAGGTTAGGGGACTAAGTTTTAAGTAAGGCATTTAAAAATGTAGGCTTAGGTCTTAGCTAGTTTGGCTCAGAGGATAGAGCATTGGCCTGCAAACTGAAGGGTCCTGGGTTTGATTCTGGCCCAGGGCACATGCCCAGGTTGCGGGCTCGTTCCCCAGTAGGGGGAGTGCAGGAGGCAGCCAATTAATGACTTTGTTTCATCATTGATGTTTCTCTCTCTCTCCTCCCTTCCTTTCTGAAATCAATAAAATTAAAAGAAAAAAGAAAGAAAGAAAAGAAGTAGAAAGAAAAGAAGTAGGCTTAGGAGTATGGTTTGGCTTATTCTTGGGCCCAGGACAGCCATGGAAATGGAAGGGGTGGATTAGAAGACCACAGTCCCAGAGAATACACATCGTTCACAGAGAGGGCAGGAGTGTGGTGCCCAAACGCAGGGGTTTCCAAAGCATCTAGATGTGCCTCAGTCTCTTTGTAGAAGGGCTGCTGTTGATACTGTCTGTCATGCGAAGGTTCCTTCCAGTTCCAAGGTGCCGTGTCTCTGCCTCCTTCATAGGCAACCCCGGGAAAACCCTTTCCAGAACCTGAAGGTCCTCCTGGTTTCAGACCAACAGCAGAACTTCCTGGAGCTCTGGTCTGAGATCCTCATGACCGGGGGGGCAGCCTCTGTGAAGCAGCACCATTCAAGTGCCCACAACAAAGGTACCGGGAAAGAATGTGTGGGGTTACTGCTCCAGGGGTGTCCTTAGGCCCAGAGCAGTTAGCCCGTGGTCTGTCTCAGTCCTGATGACAAACACGGAAAGGGTTAATCTGAGAGAGGAAAAGTACCGCCTTCAAGGTGAGAGCCAACATGAGTGAAGCACTGGGCTGTTTGGTGTCCGGTGATTCATTTGCTAAACATTTCTGTAAGGTCCGCGTTTGGGGGTGGTGATCAGTAGCACGCTGTTTGACATAAAGGGTTTAGCTTGGGCAGAGTGGGATGTGCTGGCTAGAAGGCACATCTGGCTTTTTAATGGAGGGTTAAATCGAGTCTCCTTTCCTTGTTCGCCTTCCCTGCTTCCTGCAGATATTGCTTTAGGGGTGTTTGACGTGGTGGTGACGGACCCCTCATGCCCGGCCTCGGTGTTGAAGTGTGCGGAAGCATTGCAGCTGCCGGTGGTGTCACAGGAGTGGGTGATCCAGTGCCTCATTGTTGGGGAGAAAATTGGATTCAAGCAGCATCCAAAATACCAACACGATTATGTTTCTCACTAAGGATACTTGGTCTTATCGGTTTTATTCCTTGCTGTTGTGGAGACTGTGTTTTAACAAGGTTTTAAATGTGTCTTGTGTGTAATTGGACTCTTTGCATGGATCTTGTATATAGTTTTATTTGCTGGACTTTTATGATAAAATAAATGTTGAATCTCTTTGGTTGTAGTAACTGGGATTTCTTCATCCACTTCTTTGAGCTAAATCTCAGAAGCAGCAGTAAGACAAATGGTACCTTCTCTGTGGTTTTCAATAGGCTTGTTCATGGTAGGAGGACAGCCAGGCAAGGAGAATAGCAAGGAGTGACTTTTAAAGTGTTCTGTGGCCTCACTGTCAAAAGGTAATCCTGGATATCTAAAATTCAATATATCTAAAAAAATAAATTTTACCATAGGCCCAGGTTAATAGCTGTGCCAAAAGTCGAGTGAAATTAGCATAGTCCGAGTTTCCTGGCAGTTAAAAACCTGTCTTCATAGAGTGGAAATCATTACACTGACCTGTGGGTTCTGTGTCCTCAGAGCTAACAGGCAAGAGGACCAGTTGCTGTGAACAAGCAGTGGCTTTCTATAGGGATAAACACGAAACAGTGACAGCACCTGGAAACACTACAGGTACTAGTCACAGGCACTAACTTCATTACTCTCCTCACAGATGCTGGAAGTTGTTCCTTCCCTGCCCGTAGCATCATCCCTGTTGATACCTTCGATCTGTAAAACGGGGCAAAAGTATTTTTTCTGCCAAATAGTAAACATTTTAGGTTTTGTGGGCCATTTCGTGTATCACAGTTACTCACCTTTGCCATGACGGCATGAAAACAACCACAGACGCTGGGTAAATGAATGAAGAGTGGCTGGGTAACAGTAAAGCTTTATTTATAAAAACGGGCGCAGGCGATGGTGGTTAGCCCTGCTCGGGGGCAGCAGTGGAAGAGGTCACCTTTAGCTGACTGCAGGGAGTAAGGGTGGTACAGTATGTGGTAGATGAAGATATGAGGACCAGATTGAGTGGCCACAAACTGAAGCCAGAATATTGAATTCTTTTTTGTTTAAAGGAAATTATTCGATTAATATTCATTTTCATTCACGCTGATATAAATATTAGTGGTTACTAGTGATGGTTGGGGCCCTAAAATGGGATAATTCTAATTTTCAGTATGTGCAATCTAACAATTTGACCTCATTTCTTTTAAGAAACTTTTTTCTTTGTTAAACAATGCTTTAAATACATTGTCAATAGCTAGATTTGTCCTTTTACCAGTTTGAAATAATTGGAAGTTATTGGTAAAATTCTTCAGATTCAGTTTTGAAAATCCTTAAGGATGGAACATTCTCGATGTCTATTTCTGAAGGCGGAAAAAGGATCTGGGGGGGAGGGGAAGCCTAGCTTCCCTGGTGCCTTCCTTGCTCAGTGGTAACATCCAGCAGCTGACCTATTTATAATATAACCTCTTTTTCACACTGACCACAAAATATTTCACTTTCTCATCTGTGATTACTGCTTGTATTTCTTGCAGCTTGAACAGTACCTAGGCTCATAGTAGGTGCTCAATAAGTGAACTTATCTGACAGGTGTCCTCAATAGAATGGATCTTGCATGGTCAGCAGAGTTGATGCCACATGTCCTCCTTGGTGGGCCAGTTCAGAACTCCCCTAAAGGGGGGCAGACCTTCCACATGGGGACAAGGGAAGGATCTGTACCCATGAATGTTCTGTAATCGCTTCTAGGGTGAAAGGTGGAGCCATCTCACTAGTTTGCAGGTGTTTGGTGAGTGGCTAGAGAATGGAATATTGGTTTTCTTCTGTTAAAGGCGGAACGCAATGGGGATAGATTTGTTATTTTAGTTTGTGAAATAGAAATGTTCACATCCCGAAACTAGAAAAAAAGGAGAAAGAAAAAAACACACCTCATCAAACATGCTTTGCTAAGATTTTCTTCACAGAAATATGAATCAAGGCAACTTGTGATTTAGATAATATCATCTGAAAACTCACAGTTTCTATGACTCCTGCTAAAATTGCTTAGGAAAATGTGTTTGACATTTCAGAGATAGGAGGAGAATAAAGTGCTTTTTAAAATGGGGCAGACCTGAGTGAGGCCAACAACCACTGCATCTCAGTATTAGACTTAAGAAGTTTAGAGTTAGCAGGGGCAATTCTCTGCTCGCAAAGACATGGAAGCTGCACGGCTAGTTAATGCCAGAACTGGAACTGAATCCATGCTGTTTTCCAGCTTGGCAATACACAACCCAGCCAAGAACTTAACCCATCTCAGCCTAGGAGTGCAGTCATTTACTATGGTGATGACTCTCTCTGGGAAATACCCATTAAAATTATTAAAGATGATCAGACACAGCCCTCTATCTCTCTGAGCCTTAGTTTCCTTGCTTATAAAATGAAGATATTTGGATTAGAATCAGGGATGGGGAGCCTTTTTTCTGCCAAGGGCCATTTGGATATTTATATTATCGCAAGCCATACAAAATTGTCAGCTTAAAAATTAGCCTGCTATCTTTGGCCAAACACTTATCTCACTTCTACTGCCTTGGCAGGGCCAGACCCAATGATCGTGTGGGCCTTATATGGCCCCCAGGCCAGACGTCCCCACCCCAGGTTAGTTAGGCAATGGCTAGAGCCTGCTTCCAGCTTTGGAATTCTACAACTTGTTTTATAAAAGCCACATACACAGTCACTGAGCTCCCCAGGGGTGGGTCCTACCTGCCCAGAGTTCCTCCAGCCTGGGTGTAATATTTGTTATAATCTAGTCGTAACAGTAGTTGAGCCAAATCCGAGTTGATCTGATGATTGCGGACACTGGAGAGGATCTTGAACAGGAGTGAAGACTGGCGGCTAAAGCCCTGCAGAGAGAGGGACTCAGGCTGCCATTCCTCTGGACCCACCAACTCCATGTGGAGAGGGGACGGGCTGCTCCTTGGACAAAGCTCAGAATCCTCCAGCACCACCCGGCCTTCCCACATCCCCTTTCTCTTAGCTCCTGAAATGGCTTCTTATGCCGAGTCCACAGCACGCAGGCCTTCCTGTGGAAGCCTCTCATTCTCAGCAGGAATCGAGTAGCCAGCTTCAAATTAACATGTGTCATGTCCTGGGTTGTGGAGAGCCGGTGCGTTTTTGTTACGGGAGATGAGTATGATCTCAGTGAGGCAGAGGGTCAGGTTAGGAAGTGAGGAGCTGGGCCAGGAGAGGGAGAGCAAAGCCGATGCGTATCGGTGGCCTGAATACACTCTCCAGGGCTGAACTGTTTTTGAATGCCGAGGCGGCACAAAACTATCTGCTTCAAAATCCACCAGTAACGCTTTAAATTTGTGTATCTGTATCTTGTCTATTTCTGTGCGTGTGTGGGGGGGATGCTTTATTGCCTCAGAGGAAAGATGGTTCCCCAGTGGCAAAGCCGCCTCGCCTTCGGCCAGGCCACTCACCTTCACCAGGATGCGGAGCTGGGCGGCCCCACGCTCATCCAGCGGGCCCAGGTTCTGACTGACCAGCGAGCAGAAGCTGTGGCAGAGATCTAGAATTTCATTCAGGCAGTGGAACACCTACACAGCAAACAAGGTGGCATCAGGGGAAAGATCTGTAACATTGAAAATTTTGGAAAATCTAAGAACTAACTTCTCACGCTCCCACATCTGACCTTGGCGTGTGCAAGTCCTGCCAACTCCTCCAAACGCAACACGTGCAAAACAAGCCCCCTCCTGGCAGAGGCGCTCGTGTTGTCCGAGTCCCCTGCTCAGAACCTCCCGCCAGCCAGCCAGACCCTCCGGGCACGCCCCATGGACCGCCGCGCTCCGCCTGGAGCTGTACTTTCCGTGTTGCTCCCTGTGCTGGGACACACTCCTCCTCCCAGGCCCCTCCCCAGTGGAGCGCTTCCTGCCCCGGTAGCCTTTAGTGACCCAGTTCTCTCCTCTATCTTCCTGTATTATGCAGTTCGTGTTTGTTCAGCCCACAATGTTGTTACTGCTCTGTGTATGTGTGTGTGTGTGTGTCCTGTTCCTCCAACTAGATTGTGAGCTCCTTCCGGGCAGAGCCATGACTTATACCTCTGTATCCCCAGTGCCTTGCATACAGGAAGCACTCAATAAATATTTAGTGATGACTACCTGCTCTGAGACTGCTTTTCCCTGAGGATGCACTCGTGCCGCACAAAGACAGTATTCCTGTCACCGTGGTTCTTGGTGGCTTTCCATTCACAGGACCCTTTGGAGTGGTACTTATATGACTCTCTCCCCTTAGTGTGCAAAAGCAATCCCAAACCAGACACAGAAGTGTGCAGTGCTTGTGCTGTGGCGTAGCGGGGGAGTGACCCTTAGCTCACGTCAGAGATAAAGGGTAACCCTTACAGGATAACCTACAAAGGGTCGTCGCAATCTTTTTTTTATTATTTTTTATCTTTTTTATCCTGGAATTAGAATCAGCTTGTGAGCTTTAGAAAAATATTTGTACTGCCTGTCCAGCGTGGCTCAGTGGTTGAGCGTCGACCTATGAACCAGGCGATCACACTTTGATTCCCAGTCGGGGCACATGCCCTGGTTGTAGACTCAATCCTCGGAAGGGGGGTGGGGGAGGTGGGCGGCGGGGGAGGGCGTGCAGGAAGCAGCCCACCACTGATTCTCATCACTGATGTTTCTCTCTCTCTCTCTCCCTTCCTCTCTGAAATCAAGAAAAATGTATTTTAAAAATAAATACTGGAACCGGGGTCCCACTCCAGGGACTCCAATGTAAGTGCTCTGGGCCCTCACTTTTCCAAGCTCCCAGATGATTCCATGTGGATCCAAAGTTGAGAATAACTACCTTGAAGGAGACATACATATACATATGTATGTGTATGTACATATATACACTCACTGCTCCAGTTGACTGTGAAAACAACTTTCTAGCCTTGGCCCAGTGGCTCAGTTGGTTAGAGCATCGTCCTGACATACCAAGGTTGCAGGTTCAAGCCCTGGTCAAGAATCAGCCAGGGAATGCATAAATAAGTGGGACAACAAATCAGTGTTCCACCTCTCTCTCTCTCTCCTTCTCCCCCTCTCTAAAAAGAAGTCAATACTAGAAAAGTAAATTTTATATGCTTTTCGTTGGTCTTTCTGTGGTGTCAGAAAGTGTTTTTTTTTTTTAATTTCTTGAAATTCTTCCTTCTGAGGGTTAAACCCATATTTTGTCATCTATATATAGCTGCTCACCACATCCTCTGATATATTTCAGAGATGCAAAGACATTTAAGTTCCCTTTTAACATTCCATTTCGTTTCGCTTTATAAGTTGTTAAAAATGGAGGGTAAATAAATAATGATAATTTCATAACTTGGCAACTCAAAGTGGCTAAGGAAACAGTCAAGCTAGAAGCAATCTGAGAAAACTAATCAGACCTACTTACAGGTTTCAACAAGATGAAGGACTGGGCCAGCAAATTGCTCAGGAAGTGGTCATGAGCCAATCGGATGCTTTCGAAGTCTCGGGTAGAATTGATTTGATGAAGTAGCTGTGAGAACTGAGACTCCAGCACATCTACCTGGCAGACAGTTACACAAATAACATAGCAGCTTGCATATTCTGCGCACTCAAGGATGTTAAGACACACAAGTTCTTTCCCACCCTCATCGTTCTCCATCTAAGCCACTCTGAGGCTGACCAGAGACACCCTGAGAGACTAGCCTTGTGGAAAGTTATTTGCTTAATTCTTCAGCCTCCAGTCTTGGCAGATTCCCATCGACCGCCTGCCCCAGCCCAAGCCCCTCCTGCCACATCCCCTCCACTGACTGACTTGGTTATGTCTTTCAGGATTCCAGAAGTCACAGCAAACTAAAGATAAGGGCCAGGGCAACAATAACTACTGCACTGTTGATAAGGATCCTAACCCCCCTTTTTCCTTCATTTATTTTCACTTTCCTCAAAAACGCCCCCAAGAAACATGCCTATTGATAAAACTGTAAATTTTCTCAAACCCCCGTGTTTCACAAAACTCCTGCCAACGTCCTGGACTTCGCTTTGCACCCCTTCCTTCCACTCCCCCGTCAGTGCAGACCTGGAGGTAGTACTGAAGGTTATCCACCAGGAACGCCATGTGATTCCTCAGGCGCCACTTGACGGCGTCCGTCTGGTTGGATTTGAGGTGCTTGCGCTGCATCTGCAGGGCCCAGCAGTGCTGCAGCTCCGCCTGCACCCGGCGCACGCTCAGTAAGTACTTGAAGACAACGTTGTACCTGGGGCAGAAACACCAGGCTATGCAGGATAAAAACCTCACCCCCCTCCATACCATACGCCCAGCACTTTGTCCACCCGCCCCTCCCCAAAAAGACAAGAAGGAATAGAATGGATAGAGATGGGGACAAATAAAATGATTTGATGGACAATAACACTCTCAGCTGCACAACACAACAAAACGACTCCCAGTAATATTTTGAATAAAAAGACAAATCTCAAAAGATTACATAGTCTTATACCCTTTCTTATAGTTTTTAAAACAACTACATAGAAAAATGTCTTTCCTGGAGAATCCAAGATAGCTGCACAGGTAAACACCTAGCCACAGCTGCACACAACAATTTCAATGAAATACAACTAAAATATAAAATGGACATTACCCAGAACTACAGGAAAGTTGACTGACTGAAAATTCTACAAGGAGAAGCAGGGAGAAAACCAGAAGGAAGCGCGGAGGAGCTGGAAAAGCCTAAGGTACGGAGACACGCGGCGCGCGGAGAGGACGGAGCCGGAGAGGAGGGCGGCTGAGTGCCTGGCTGGCGTTTCCTAGCGGGAAGGAGATAAAAGCTCCGACTGTGCTGGGCCCCAGTTCCAACTGCTCTGAACCCCAGTTCTGGGCCAGACCCCGGGGACCCAGGCTCATCCAGAGGGAGCTGGGCTGTAAGGCGGAACCCTGGGGGAGCGGCGAAAGGGGGTCCTGGAGGTGCGCACATTGCGTGCAGAGAAGGGACGGTTGGCTGTGCTGCGGGATTGCCCTGGCAGGAAGGAGACAGGGGCTCCAGACTGCTCTGAATGCCACCTCCAACTGAACTGAACCCCAATACCAGGCTCATTGGGGGAAGAGCCTAGTCTGTTTGGTAGCAGGTGAAAATCGAGGGCACCTTTCTCTCAGAGGCGCTTGAAACGAGTACTGAAGTACCCTGAGACTCAGGAGCTGCATAGGGCGGGGCTGATGGAAGCCAAAGCTGTAGGCTCCACCCTGAAACCCCGCCCCATCAGGGAAGCTGCGAAAATGCCGAGACGAAATAGATCACAAACGAAAGAAATGGAGGACAAAAAGCGACTGGATATAGAGTTCAAATCTACGCCTATAAGGTTTTTCAAGAATTTACTAGAAAAGATCGATAAGACCTCTGAGGATATGAAAAGGGATCAACTAGAATTAATAAGGAATCAACAAGAAATGATAAGGGATCAACAAGAAATAAAGAATGCATTGTCTGAAATAAAAAATATTATACAGAGTCCTAAAAACAGAATGAAAGATCGCAAGAATCAAGTCAAAGATTTGGAACATAAAGAGCCAGAAGACACTCCTCCGCAGAAACTAGAAGGCAAGAGAATCCAGAAAATTGAAGATAATGTAAGAAACCTCTGGAGAGACAACCAAGATGGCGGCATAGGGCAGACACCCGAATGCAGCCTACCACAACAAGTTTGAATTTAGAACTGAAAAATGGGGGAAACATCACCCTGAAGCACGGGACGGCTGGCTGAAGGGAGGCTCTACCATCTGGGAAGGAGAGAGAAGGCACACTGAACCTCAGGAACTGTGAAGGTACGGAGAACTGTGTGCGCGAAAAAGCGGCCGCAGAGTTCGCTGCCGGCTGGCTTGCGGAGCATGGAGAGGGCGGGCTGAGTTCGCTACCGGCTTACTCCCTGCGCGCAGAGAGGGCAGACAGCTAATGCGCAGCTGGCTTTCTTGTTCCGGAGGAAAACAAAACCACCCTATTGCGCTGACAGAGGCCAGTCTGTCAGGCAGTGGGCAGAGATCTCTTGGAGGTGTGTGAAGCCAGCGGCCATTATTGCGGGACTCAGAAACCAGGCCCTCATAGGGAGGGGCTGAATAAAGCTTGCCTGCACCACCCGAGACTACGCCCCATCTAAGCAGAGCATAGAGGCCCTTCCAGTGGCTAGCTTCCTCGTTCGCTGCCAATAGGACTCTCCTAGGGAGGGGCAGACCGGAATCTAAAGCTTGTCTGCGCCTATACCAAAGAGGTGCGCGCGCCTACAACCAATTGTGCGGGATTCAACAAAGCTTGTCTGTGCCACCCCGAGACTCCGCCCATCCAAGCAGAATACAGAAACCCTCCTAGCTGAGACACTTCTGATCCTCATAGCCAATTGGCTTGGAGATCAACACTTCCCAGTGATACCAACAACAAGCAAGGCTTAACAACAAGACTGCCCACCCATCCCACCAAGGGCTACACCAAGACTGCCCACCTCAGGTAACTGGGAGGCTGACACACTGAACCATATAGGACACCTTAGCACACAAAGTCACCCTACCAACTCAGGGAAGCTGTGAAAATCCCAAGACAAGGAATTAGATCACAAACAAAAGAAATGGAGGAAAAGAAGAGACTGGATATAGAGTTCAAAACCACGCTTATAAGGTTTTTTAAGAATTTCCTAGAAAAGGTCGATAAGACCTATGAGGAGATGAAAAGGGATCAACAAGAACTAATAAGGGATCAACAAGAACTAATAAGGGATCAACAAGAACTAATAAGGGATCAACAAGAAATAAAGAATACATTGTCTGAATTAAAAAATATTATACAGAGTCCTAAAAACAAAATGGAAGATTGCAAGAATCAAGTCAAAGATTTGGAACATAAAGAGCCAGAAGATACTCCTCCACAGAAGCAAGAAGTCAAGAGAATCCAGAAAGTTGAAGATGATTTAAGAAACCTCTGGGATAACTTCAAGCAAACCAACATCAGAATTATGGGGGTCCCAGAAGATGAGAGAGAGCAAGATATCGAAAACATACTGAAAGAAATAGTGACAGAAAACTTCCCCCACCTGGTTAAAGAATTAGACTTACAAGTCCAGGAAGCACACAGAACTCCAAACAAAAGGAATCCAAAGAGGACCACACCGAGACACATCATTATTAAAATTCCAAGAGCAAAAGACAAAGAGAGAATATTAAAAGCAGCAAGAGCAAAGCAGGTAGTTACCTATAAAGGAGCACCCATACGATTGTCAGCTGATTTCTCAACAGAAACCATGCAGGCCAGACGGGAATGGCAAGAAATATTCAAGGTGATGAATAGTAAGAACCTACAGCCAAAGATAATCTATCCAGCAAAGCTATCACTCAGAATCAAAGGTCAGATAAAGAGCTTCACTAATAAAAAAAAAATGCCAAAGGAGTTCATCACCACCAAACCAGAATTATATGAACTGCTGAAGGGGGTTCTTTCAGAAGAGAAAGTAAATAAAGATAAAAATTATGAACAACAAATACATAACTATCAACAAGTGAATCTATTGTAAAAACCAAGGAAATTAAAAAAAAAAATCTGATGAACAATATTAACTGTTGAATATAATAGAATCAGAGGTATGGAAGGGGAGTGAACTGACGATTCTTAGGGGGAAAGGGGAGAGGGGGATGTGGGAAGAGACTGAACATAAACTGTGCACCTATGGATGAGGACAATTGGGGGTGGGGAAAGGGCAGAGGGTGGGTTGGGAACCTGGTAGAGAGCAATGGATGGGGGGGGGAAGAAACATTTGTAATAATATGAACAATAAAAATTTATTTAAAAAATTATAAAAATAATAAAATAAAATAAAATAACTACATAGAAAAAAGTATATACTTTTGGGGGGAATACACATATACATATATATATATATATATATATATATATATATATATATAATATCTACATAATAAAAGAGTAATATGCAAATTAACCATCACTCCACTACACCCACCAGCCTATCAGAGTGAATATACAAATTAATCCCAACCAAGATGGTTGCCACCACAGAGAGCAGGAGGAAGGCTTGGGTTTCCCTGGCAATAGAGGAAGCCAAGCTTTCCACACACCCTGGCCTGCCCAGGCCTCCACTCAAGGATACAAAGTTTCAATTATAGAAGAAAAATCCCAAGAAAAATGGCAGCAGCCATGGAGCTGAAGAGAGCAGGCTAGGGTCGCCCCTGGCAACGGAGGAAGCCAAGCTTTCTACCTGCCCTGGCTGGCCCAGGCCTCCACTCCAGACTACAAAGTTTCAATTATAGAAGGTGAATAAACTCCAATAGAAAGGCTGTCACCATGGATTCAGCAGGAAAGCTTGGCTCTGCTGCAGGCCACAAAGTTTCAATTGTAGAAGGTAAATAAATTCTAGATACCAAGGCCTCTGCTTGTGTTGCCAGGGGGCGTGGCCGGCCTGCAAACCACCATAGCCCCTCGCCAAGACCGCCCCATGCCCCAAGGGAACCCCCACCCTGATCCAGACACCCTTCAGGGCAAACCAGCTGGCCCCACCCATGCACCAGGCCTCTATCCTATCTAATAAAAGAGTAATATGCAGATTGACCATCACTCCAACACAAAAGGTCAAGATAGCTGCCCCCATGTGGTCAAAGATCCTGCCCCCATGTGGACACAAGATGGCACCACAAGATGGCCAGCAGGGGAGGGCAGTTGGGAGGCACCAGGCCTATAAGGTAGGGCAGTTGGAGGCAATCAACCCTGCAAGGGAGGGCAGTTAGCAGTGACCAGGCCAGTAGAGGAGGGAAGTTGGGGACAAACAGGCTGGCAGTGGAGCAGTTAGACATCAATCAGGCTGGCATGGAAGTGGTTAGGGGGTTATCAGGCGGGCAGGCAGAAGTGGTTAGGGGCAATCAGGAAGGCAGGCAGGAGAGCAGTTGGGAGCCAGCAGTCCTGGATTGTGAGAGGGATGTCCCACTGCCCTGAATGGGTAGTGGGACATTCCTCGAGGGATCCCAAATTAGAGAGGGTACAGGCTGGGCTGAGGAACCCCCCTCCCCTGTGCACAAATTTCATGCACCAGGCCTCTAGTGTGTGTGTGTGTGTGTGTGTGTGTGTGTGTGTGTGTGTGTGTTAAACTAAGCATATATATGATAGAAAACATGGAATTTAGGATAGTGGTCGTTTTGTGATGTGGAAGGCAAAAGGGCAGGACTGGGAAGGACCACATAGGTAGATGGAAATTACTGTCAGTGTTCTAGTTTTTGTGCTAGGAAGTGGTTTTATGACGTGCATGAGTGTGTGTGTGTGTGTGAGTGTGTGTGAGAGTGAGAGAGTGTGTATAAGAAGGAAGAAATGAGGGTCTGTCAAGTACCCATAAGAATATGTTAGGAACCAAGGATTTTGGTTAATATGATTCTCTGTCCCTAAAGCCCAAAGAGAAGATAAAGTCAAGGGCTCCCCTCACTGAGACTCCCTGCAGCAAGCTCGGGGGCTAGCTGCCTCATGCTGAGCCCTGTTCGGAGAAGACACGGGGGATGAGCAGCTGACTCCTGGTGGGACTGCGTGTATTTGCCTATTCTAGTGGGCATGCAGAAGGCAATCTGATTCCATTTGTTTTTTTTTGTTTTTTTTGTTTTTTAAATATATATTTTATTGATTTTTCACAGAGAGGAAGAGAGAGATAGAGAGTTAGAAACATCGATGAGAGAGAATCATCGATCAGCTGCCCCCTGCACACCCCCTACTGGGGATGTGCCCGCAACCAAGGTACATGCCCTTGCCCGGAATCGATCCCGGGACCTTTCAGTCCGCAGGCCGACGCTCTATCCACTGAGCCAAACCGGTCCCGGCTCCATTTGGTTTTTTAAAAAACTATTTCTAATGGAACAACATATTAAAAATAGTTCACCTTGTTTGGATTCTGATTTGAGTAAACCCAACCATAGAAAACATTTATAGATAATTGGGGGAATTTCAATGTGGACTGGATATCAGACAATAAAGAATTAATTTTATTGGGTATGATAATGGCATTGTGGTTGCGCTAACAAACATGTCTTTTGAGAGCTTGTTTGGAGGTTCTAGCAGGGGAGCGCAGCTACTCGTATACCCTTGACCGAAGACCGGTCCTCTCCTCTGGGGGGAAGGTCCTCCTCTTTGACTGAGCGCGCAGCTTCGGGAGGGACGCACATGGATCGGTGAGGGAGGAGGGGGACACCCGCCTAGCCAGCCAGATCAGCCGAACCAACCCTGGCGATTAATGGGGTGACAGATGTCGCAGCCAGATCGCCCTCACATCCCAAACATGTTTTCTATGGTTGGGTTTACTCAAATCAGAATCCAAACAAGGTGAACTATTTTTAATATGTTGTTCCATTAGAAATAGTTTTTTAAAAAACCAAATGGAGCCGGGACCGGTTTGGCTCAGTGGATAGAGCGTCGGCCTGCGGACTGAAAGGTCCCGGGTTCAATTCCGGTCAAGGGCATGTACCTTGGTTGCGGGCACATCCCCAGTAGGGGGTGTGCAGGGGGCAGCTGATCGATGATTCTCTCTCATTGAATTGTACAATGACTGAATGACATGCCTGGAATTGCTTTACAGGCTCCAGCAAAAAAACAAAAACAAAGTAAGTCCCATAATGTTGATGGTTACTGAAGCTGGATATGCGTATATGGGAGTTCACTATAGTCCACAGGAAATTTCCATAATACAATGTTTAAAAATACCTCTGAGTGTGATTTCTTTAAGGGCCTTATCAAGTGAGGAGGTGAGCGGACTGTAGGGCTGTGGGCTCTGAACCTGCCACAGAATTCCCCACCCCCCAACCCCAACAAGCCTTATCCTTTCCAGTTTATGCCTAATCTCTCACTCTAAGCTTCTCTACCCAAAAGGAAAGGGGTTGTGAACAGGAAGAGGGAGGAATAAGAGAGGCCCCGCTGTTCACTGTTTCCGGTGTCTCCATTCCCCCAGCCTGAGCAGGACCATGTCCATCCTCCGGCCAGGCCAGGGGCCAGTGCAGCACCTGCCACAGGATTTGGGACGTTCCTGAAGTGGCTGGAGGATGACTTCGAGGCCACCTGTCAAGTATGCTTCTCCTGCTTTCTCTAGAGAGCTAGCCTCCCGCTGGTTCAGAGACGTGAGGTCCTGACGGGCCACCCAACAGCACTTGGCAGGCTCTCGGGATGAAGACCAGGCCAATCCAAGAGTCTCACCCCCTGGAGTGGCTCCTTCACGCCAGCCCCCGCGAGCTGGCTGCCCACTGCCTCTCCCTGGGGATACGGAGGTGACCTTCTCCCATGCCTGAAGTCCACAGCAAACGCTGGAGCTTAGAAAGTCTTCCCAGTAAAGTCACAGAAGTCGGGGGGAACTGGGTCAGCCTCAGGGATTACCCAGGCTCCTGTGGGGCAGGGACTGCGCGTCCCCAGGCTCAAACTGCTTGTTTCGGCATTAAAGCCACACATGAACCTTTCCTAGTGTTAAGAGTTTGATCCTCCCATTCATTCCAGTCCCCACCACTCCCCACTCTCAGGTCAGTGGCTTCGCCGATTGTGTTCTGTGCAGCCCCTCAAGGCATCCAAGTTTGAAACCTCTGATTTACAGGGTAGCTACTGTTCTCCCACCAATTCTGTCCCTGCTTTCTTCCCTTGGAAATAATGTGGCTCTTCAATACCTTCAAGAAACGTGGAAACACTTACTTTTCCAGGACGGCAGGCGTGAAGAGAATGTGCAGGGGCCACTGCACTTTGTAGTTAAGACCGAGGGCTGCCCAGCCCGACGCAGGGGGCTCCCGGGGAGAGGCCTCCCGGGGGGGCCCTTCCCTGGCCTGAGCAGCATCTGTCAGGAGGAGGAGGAAGGATGTCTAGGTGAGACTCTGCTGACCCAGAACCAGAGCACCGGCGGTGAGTAGCATCAGAAAATCAGCGCCCCCTCAGCCCGCAGTGTCAGAAGCACCAAGGGGACTCGCAGAGGCAAGGACCGTGAGTGTGACGTTCTCTCAGGGCTTTATACAAGGTGAACTGTTAGCTGGTTTCTAAGGCCCATGCTGTGGCTTCTGGGGAGGGAGATGGGAGCAGAGACAGCAGGACAGAGGGTGACCAGCAGGCCCAGAGACGTGAGAAAGAACGCACACCTTTGTGCTCCTTCCCGTGGTACTCGATCGTCAAGTGCAGCAGAGGGAGAAGGTTGTCGTCGTCCAGCAGCACCTTGTGTGCTGACTGCTGGAAGGCCACGTTCACATCTGCAGGAAAGAACACGGCTGACACGCGCGCTGGGCTACCTGACACACCCAGACTGCCCTCCACTGTCCCCAGCCTGCCCAAAACTAACAGCGGGACGCAACAGACGCCTGACTGGCATGCATTCCTCCTCCTCCTGCTGGTAACAGCATTCTGATTTTCCATGGAGAGTCACCTGTCCTGTGTACTCCATGTGGGCCCAGCGGGGCTGACAATACCTGATCCCAGGGGCGGCAGGTGACTCCGGCATGATCAAATGGAATATGATACGCTATCTGATACACTATTTTGTTTAGGGGTCTGAACATGACCCAAGCCAGGCCAATTAAGAGGCTTTCAGATGCTGAATGAGAACAGGTGTGTGTGTGTGTGTGTGTGTGTTCCTTGGAGGCCATCCTGCCACCATGCGGAGCAGGCCTGTCTGAGGAGAAAGGCAGAGGTACAAATGGAACGATGCCAAGTCTTGAAAGTGTCACATGAGCCATTGGCTCAAACTCTGCCTAAAGCCCTCTTACTTCTGACCTTTTCATAATAATCAATAAATTATTTCCCAACCCCCTTTGTTTAAGTGAGTTTGAATTGGATTTTCTGATATTTGCAACCAAAAAAGTCCTATGTAAGTGTAATGGGCATCTCTTATTTTATAGAGCTAGAAAAAAACAGTAACTCTGTCCGCCACATTATTTCCAAGGGAAGAAAGCAGGGACAGAATTGGTGGGAGAACAGTAGCTACTCTGATCCTCACCCAACTTCCCTCATGTAATCTGAATGGGAATAGTGATCATCCCCACTGGTCAAAGATAAACACTTTAATGAGGAAGGCACATCTTGATGTCTGACCTCTCTGTTCCAGGGATAGGTATATGATCTGGGTTGGGCTCATCAAAAAATTTCCTCAGGATTTTTTATTTTGCTACTAAAGAGATCAGATTTGGCTCCTCTGGTAGACATTGTGAGGCATGTTCCTAGGATCTGCCAGTGGCCATGTTTCCAGATGGAAATGTAAGGCCATCAAGGAGTGTCCAAGGGCACAGAGAATACATGGTAAGACAGAGAGAATCTTAGCAGAATTCAAGCCGCTAACATCAGTTCTGAGGCCCAGCTATACCCTACCTCCCTGAACTTATAGACCTAATAGCAAATGTATTCTCCCTTTCTACCTAAGTTAGTTCAGGTTAGGTTTCCATCATTACAACCTAAAGAATTCCAATAGAGTAAGTGGCAATAAGTTTCAATATGTCCCTATGTCCCATAGGAATATATGGTTATAATCTAATGCGATAAAATACCTGGTTTGAAGGCCTGAACCAACTCTTCCAGAAATGGTCACAGGCCAAGAGGCTGCTCTGTGACCTGGGTGGGAAGCCCACCTGAGAGGCCTTGGATCTTTGTAACTCGCCAGCCTGCTCTTCTGTGGAGCGGCCAAAATAGTCTGACAGCAGCCAAGAAACACCCTACAACTTCAGCCAGCTGGCCATTCTCAGGCCCCAGGGCAATTACCATGTTCCGTGACCGCGGTGGGTGGTGTTTTTAACATGTGTTGAGCTGTGTCGATGAAGGCCTGGAACAGTTCTCCACGTCCAAGAAGGTAAAAGTCTTTAATGATCTGCAAAAAAGCATTTCCATTTGTAATTTGGTAATCCAGCAGGACCCTGAGCTCCTCGCTGTCGTACTGGAATGACACACATAATCTCCAAATTTCATCAGTTTGAGCTAACGTGCAAAAGGATATATAGGCTTTTGGCATTTCAAAGGGGCATATTTAGCTGAAACCGGTTTGGCTCAGTGGTAAAGCATTGGTCTGTGGACTGAAAGGTCCCAGGTTCGATTCTGGTCAAGGGCATGTGCATTGGTTGCAGGCACATCCCCAGTAGGGGGTGTGCAAGAGGCAGCTGATCGATGTTTCTCTCTCATCGACGTTTCTAACTCTCTATTCCTCTCCCTTACTCTCTGTAAAAAATCAATAAAATATATATTAAAAATAATAATAATAATAAAACAAAGGGGCATATTTAGCAGTCCCTTAGGGCAGACTGTGTGGTGTATCTTTGGCATCATTCAGTAAAAACACAGTTATGTTATGGTAGGAGAAACTTAACACCTAAAGTTTTGTACTGTAGTTCATTAGTAGTAGTAGGTGGAGTTGGCCCACTTGGCCAAAGACATGCCAGGCCATCTAGAAATCTGGGTACAAGCAATGAGCACTCTCAGCAGAGGCTAGGAAAGGAAGTGACTGCCCACCAGCATCATTTTAAGAGTGAATAGGACAGTTAAGCTATTACCTTCAACTGACCCAGTAAATCTGACTCTTCTACCATCAGCTTCCAGAGATGCTGTGAAAAGAACAACAAAACAGGGACAAAATTTCATTACAATGAAAATTAATGTAAAACACAGTTTTGTACAAATCCAACCTTTTGAACCACATGGACTACTGGTTGGCGACCGCTAGGTTATGTGATAGATCAGTGGTTGCCTGGGAGAGGGAGGGTAAGAAGGGTGGATAAAGCACACAGGAAGGTTAAAAATAAAGGATGGAAGAAGGCATAAATATGACTTGAAAGAAAATTGGATGGTGATCTTAATAACTAATAAAATAGAATTCAAGTGAAAATATACTATATACATATAGGCGAAACTGGTTTGGCTCAGTGGATAGAGTGTTGGCCTGCGGACTGAAAGGTCCCAGGTTCAATTCTGGTCAAGGGCATGTACCTTGGTTGTGGGCACATCCCCAGTAGGGGGTGTGCAAGAGGCAGCTGATTGATGATTCTCTCTCATTGATGTTTCTAACTCTCTATCCCTCTCTCTTACTCTCTGTGAAAAAATCAATAAAAAATTATATTAAAAAATATATACTATATACATATAAGTTTGTGATAAAGAGGTCTTTATACACACACACACACACACACACAATAAACGTATATTTCTTATAAATACACACATGCTTAACATTTAACCCGAAAATGAGAAATAGAGTTCTAGACTCAGCACAGAATATACACTCTCTGGGCAGATGAAAGCAATTAAAAACACAAAACAGACCTGCTAGTAGTCCATAAGGAAACCTCAATAAATTCCAAAGGACTAATATACAGACTATATACTCCAGCTATAGTGCAATAAAAATAAAACTTAGTAAATCCCTTGGGTTAAAAGAAAATCATAAAGAAAATTTAAAATTATTCAGAATGATAATGAAAATAAAACATAGGCCAAAACTTGTGGGACAAAGTCAAAGTAACATTATATATATACATATCTTAGGAAACAAGTATCAAAAACAGAAGAGCCCTAGCCAGTTTTCTCAGTGGACAGAGCGTCGGCCTGTGGACCAAAGGGCCCTGAGTTCAATTCTGGTAAACGGCACACACCTTGGTTGCAGGCTCCTCAGGCCTGATTAGAGGCAACCAACCCATGTGTTTCTCTCACATCGATGTTTCTCTTTTTCCCTCTCTCTTCCACTCTCCCTAAAAATCAGTGGAAAAAATATCCTCAGATGAGGATTAACAAAGAAAAAAGGTAAGAAAAGATCCAAGAAGGGATGAGTATATGTATTTGCAAGACACTCCTCCCCCTTTTTCCCTCTGGATACACTGTATTTCTTTTCATTACTTTAGGCTGTTATTATTGTTACAATAATACTCTTCAAAAAAATCAATTAGATACAATTCTGAAACACTTCAAAGAGTTTGAGATTCAATTTTTTTGTCTATCATTTTTACAAACTGGAAATAATATTATTTCTAGCAACATGTGCATTTCAAAATTTCACCAGAAAAAAAAAAAATTTGAAACCTTATGTTATTCATTCAAGAAAGTTTTACTTTCCTTCATTAATTATATTTTCCAAAGACTTATCACAAAAATGATAAAAGAACGGAAACAGATCCAATAAAACAGATGAAAGGAACTGGAGACACCAGCCCCTCAGACAAGCACTGTCCTGGCCTGGACAGAGGAGTGTCTCAGAGTCTGGAGGGCAGGAGAGTGTTCTCTACACTGCTCTCAGCCAGAGGCCAGGAGGCGACAGCAAGTGTATCCTAGATAATCCAGATACTTACTTGCCCATAAAGAATCAAATCAAGTGATACTTCAAGGCCACTTTAATGTCTAAATTCTATGTTTATAACACAACCCCTAGGGATTTTTGAGGCAGTGACCAAAAAAGAGGACAGTTTGTGATAGATTACCGGACTTCCAATGTGAGGGGCCTGATGCTAAGCTTCCGTAGGTTCTGGACGCTGACCCTAATGCATTGGCTTTGCTTCGAAATAACCCGCAGGGTTTGCTTATTGGTTTGTTGGTATAAATACAAGTACCTACGCCCTCCTGACTTACAAATCAGAAACTCTGAGGAAAGGACATGGTGCAAGTAAGCTTTAACATCCCACAGGGATTCTACGCGCAGCCAGAGGTGGAAACCACTAACACAGTCATCAATCCAGTGGACTAACTGGAGATTTCATTTCACATTATCACTCACTTGTGAGCCAAATGTTATCATAAGGATAGAACACATGCCCATCTGAACAATTATTGGTCATAATTTAAGTTCATGGATGAAGCACGATTCACATACGAACAATGACCTAGGCAGGGGTCGGAAGACCCGTGTTTGACCTCACCTTTGTTAGTTACTGTGCAACACCAGGCAAGTTAGCTTCCTGCGTGATGTTTTCATTCTCAGGAACGAAAAATTTTACCTGTTCTGTCTTCCTCAGGAGTATCACATCCACAGTGGCAGAATAAGCAATAAAGCTATTATAAGACGTAGTAAGGAACTACATTTACTCAGAATCCATCGATTCCTTGGAGTTATTGCCAACTACGGTGTACAGACAGATTCAAAATGCTGACTATCTGAAATGCAACCAAGACTTCCCTTTACTCAAGGAGCTAACTACCCAGTAAACCCCCCGCCAGGTGCGAAAGGCCAAGGCAGCTCCGCCTCTGCTATGAAGAACAGAGAATCCTTTCATCTTCCACTTCTCGCCCTTCAACTCTGTCACACAATTCCCTCCAAGCTAAGCTCTTGCCACATTAAGCAGCAGCAAAAGTCAAGTATTCAATTCCTGGGGAAATTACCCCACTCTCTTCCTAAGAAAACAGACGATGAAAGGCAAACCTCAGCCACGGTGCTCCGAATACGGTCCACCACCTGCTCGAAGTCCACCAGGCTGAAGAGCGGCTGCTGCTTGAGGCGGTGCAGCTCCGCGGCGAAGGTGTCCTCCTGGTTTTTCAAAATGGATCCTGCAAAACGGGGAGGCAGCGTCACCGGAAGCGGGGCCCAGCCAGGACGGCAAGGATCGCCTCCTGCCGGCGCAGCTCCTTCACCTGCTGGCGAGCAGGCCGCCATGGGTATGCTGAGATGTCAGAGCGTAAACATCCCTCACCGCTCACGATGACCAGGGGAACTTGGGGTTCGCGCAATATCAAGAAGGGCCCTTGAGGATGGGGTACATTGAGCAAGGACATTCTCACCTTTTCTAGTCAGGTTGACATTTTGATTCTCAAACATCTGGACAGATTCTCCAACAAACAGGATTTTTTCAGCCACCCTCACTGGGATGTAGGATGGCAGAATCTCCACTCGCAGGGAAAACTGCTTTAGAGATGGCGCCAGCATGTTCTCTTCCTCTATCAGGCGCTGGTCAAAGAAGTAATCCACATCAGAGATGATGTAAAAACAAAAGGAAAACAAGAAAACATCCCAACACGTGATACGCATTTTCTATAAATAGAGCAGGGACTTTAAATCTGAAGTTGCATTTAAGTATTAGAAGCATATATTCCATTTTCAAGAAGCAGAAGAGATGGTAGAAACAACAGTGTTTTGTTGTTGTTTTTTGTAATTTGTTTTTTATTGACAGTAGAGAGGAAGGGAGAGGAAGAAACATCAATGATGAGAATCATTGGCCGGCTGCCTCTTGCACACTCCTACTGGGATCTAGCCCACAACCCAGGCATATGCCCTGACCAGGGAGGGATCTGTGACCTCCTGGTTCAGGGGTCAACACTCAACCACTGGGCCACACTGGCCCAACTAGTATTTTTTTTTTAACATTAGGATTTTTGTCCTCACTCTGCCTTTACTACTTGTGCAGATCTGAAACTCGGTTTCTCTACTTGTACCATGGAATAATTGATCTTTACCCATGTCTACACATCTATGAGTTTATTATCTTGTGTACATGTCTGCTCTGCCCAGCTCTTTACTCCAGCCCCAAGTCATTCAGCCACGTGGTTCTCAAAGTGTGGCTCCTGGACCAGCAGCAGCAGCTTCACAAGGGAGCTGGTTAGAAATGCAAATTTTCAAGCCCCTCCCCAGATCTACAGGAAACTTGGGCAACAAGGCCCAGTGATCTGTTTTACAAGCTCTCCAGGTGATCCTTGTGCACAGCGAAGCTTGAGAACCACTGACATAGCCAGAAAGGCCCAGATACCCACCCCCCAACTCCTGATGGGCTGTAGATTTGACCATTATCTTATCTGGTTCCAAGGAACTGTCCTGACTTTGATTTCTGCCATTTGCCCACGTTGTTTTGGGCTTCGTGCTGGTGTTCCTCCTGGCACTATTCCTTTTCCGTTCACTCTCCATCCTCTGCTTCAGCAATCACATCTTCTGAGGCTGAATTTTTCATCATAACAGATATTTTAAGTCTTTTTACATCACAGGACTCTCTACAATTATAAAATTTTCACAGAACCTCTGAAGTCCCACATGGACCCCAGATTAAATATTTCTAATGCTGATGATGCCTAAATCGTCACCTTTAAGTTAGATTGCTCTCATGAGCTCCAGCCTCAGCCCACTGGACATTTCCTCCAAGTACCTCAAACTCAACATGTCCAGAATTAGATCCATATTCTTTCCTCCAATACTAGCAATATACATTTCTTATCACCACTACTCGCCTAGCTGTTGAATCATTCTTGATTCTTCCTCTGGGTCCATATCCAATCAATCACTAAGGCCTACTTATTCCACTTCCTAAATCTCTCAAGCCTCTTTGTCCTTCTCCGCATTTACTGTTAGTACTCTTGCTTTAGGCCATTATTATTTTCACCTCAGTGTCCCCTACGTTCTTCTAACGTACCTACAGTGAATCTTGACTAAAAAAACACACCAAGGTTCCCCACACAGTATCCAGAGAGATCTATCATAAAATTCAATGGTGCTAATATCTTGCTTAAAATTCTTCACTGGCTCCCAGCTCTTTTCAGATTCAAGTTCAAATTCCTTTCCTCTGTTTACAAGGGCTTTCATGATCTTATCTCTGCTTAACTCATCAGCTTCACTGATGGCCACTTCCCCCATCCCCTCCTCTGTCCTTACAAGGTGCTTCAGTCTTTACTTGACCATTTCATCGAATTACTAATGGTTCCCCAAATGAGGCATGTCCTCCATGGGCTCTGTACTTATACACATCCTCTCCTAGAATATTGACTCACACGCCTGGAATGTTTCCTGACCTCTCCTATCAAACTCTGCCATTTACCCATATATTTCACTGAAAAGACTTCTCTAGTTACTTTAATACCATGTTCTGATACCTGTACTTTTTCCAGAATACTTAGTATACTGTAATGTTACTGTTTACTTATATCTTCCTCTAAACTATAAGTTCTAAGGACATGGACTACTACCTATTATCTGTCTATGTAGTTGTGGCACCTAGAATAGTACCTGGCACATAACAGCCATTTAATTAAATGTTGTAACAGAATAAATGAATGGATGGATGAATAAGGACAAGAGAGGACTTTGGGGAGTTTAATCAAAACTCCAAACTGCATTTAAATACTACAGGGTAGTCCAGCCATTGTGGCTCAGTGGTTGAGTGTCGACCTATGAACCAGGGGAAAACGGTTTGACTCCTGGTGAGGGCACATGCCCAGGTTGCTGGCTCAATCCCCAGGAGAGGGTGTGCAGGAGGCAGCTGATCAGTGATTATCTTTCATCATTGATATTTCTATCTCTCGCCCTCTCTTTCTGAAATCAATAAAAATATATAAAAAAAATAAATACTACAGGGTAGCTACAAAACTACTTTAGGAGACAAGACTTATTATTAACCTCTTAAAAGCATATACTGGGAAAAAGGGAAACAAAAGGAATCTCACAAATATACTTCCTGTCTTATAGTCTCACATTAAGTTAGGTATTCCATTTAAGAATGAAAAAAAGATAAATACAAGTGTTTGTATCTAAAGAATTTATGGAAGGTGTCAGGCTATGATGAACTTGGAGCAGGGTCACCAAAAGGTCATTTAGCTGTAGTCTTTTCTGATTCCTGGCAGGAGTATGCTGGGCTTCTTGCTATGTTCTCACCAAGTCCTGGAGTTCTTTCAGTTGTTTTCCTGTCAGTCCCCCAATACCCAGGTCCTCCTCATCCTCCTCTGGCTGGGCAGTGACATTACCAGAAGACGGACCTTGTTTGATAAAGAACTCTTCATGCTGGTCCAAGAGGAGTCCATGTAGCATCCAGGCTGAGAGCTGCTTATACATGACCCCATGACACACGGCCAGGATTCTGAGTTGGGAGAAAAGCAAGACCCTTAGAAGTCCACTTAAAAGAACACTAAGCCCCCTAATGGCACAGAGGGTCTGCTTTAAACTGCTGCCGGATAAACAGAGGCCTGAGAGGCTGATGAGTCACAGGGAAATGACAAAGTAAGCTAAAAATAATTGTGGTATTTTTAATTTAAATGTTTGTGGTGGACTGATTAAATTTCCAAACTTGTGGCCTACATACTGAAGTCTGAAATGTTTAGTGACTGCTCTGATAGTCTTTGGGGAGAAACACATTTTCTTTCCTCCTTTTGTGTAAATTAAGTTTTAACACTGATATTACTGTTAAAATTAAGTGGACTTACGGGAGTCTCTCTTTGGCTAACATAGTACTAAATTTGTTTTATTTTTTGTTGGAATCACATAGGGAGAGTAGATTCAATACGTAACAGGCAGGTATACCTGAACAAGTATGATCCAACAAAATGCAGAAAGGTTGTTGGAGAATGGGATATTTACATGGTCTCAAAGAATCACCAGATAACATATTAATTACAAAGGGGGAAATGTCCCTCTGAAATGGAGAAATCTGGTGGAAAACACTTAAACCAAGCGATCAAACTTTACAACACCAGTAATGGGACAAACTTATTTTCTGTGCCTTCAAATATGATGCAACAGGAAATAATATGACCCATGTAGTATTCTTGCAAAAAATTTTTTTAACCCAAATGGAAACATGAAAAAATAATCAGAAAAATTCCAGACAGTGGAACGTTCTTCAAGACAACTGGTCAGAACTCTTAAAATGCCAGTCATCAAAGATTTTAAAAAAGCAAAAGCAAAAAAGCAAAGAAAACTAAAAAGACATGACAACCAAATGCCAAATGCAATATGTGAACAGTGGTTGGATCCTGGATTCAAAAAAAGAACAGCTATGAAGAATTATTGGAGGGCAACTAAAGAAATTCAGATATAGTTTGGATATCATATTGTTGAATTAACGTTACCTTTCTTGGGTATAATATGGTATTGAGGTTATATAAGAAAGACATCCCCCCCCCCCCTTATTTAAAAAGGATACAAGCTGACATTAAGGGGTTAACTGTTATTATATTTGTGACCACTTTCAAATCACTCAGTAAAAAATTATGATATGCATGTGGGTGTTTATATATAAATATATAAGTTTACATATACATTTCACAGTTTATATAGACTAAGAAAGAAAAAAATCAAATGTGGCAAAATGTTAACTGGTGAAATTAAAAGGTATAAAGGTGTTTATTGTACAGTTCTTTTAACATTTTTTAGGTTTGAAAATTTTCAAAATAACCTGGGAAGAAAAAGAAACTAAAAGAGATTGAGTCTGCTATTTGTAATATGCGAACTGAATGGAATAGCTCTTTAAAAAATTAAATGGAAAGGCATTTAAATTTTGCACATTGCATTCTGTGGTCTGTAAAATTGGGTCCCTGCAAATACATAACATATATACATCATATCCTATATAATAAGAGCCTAATTTGCAAATTGATCGAACTAAGGCAGAATGACTGGTTGCTATGACACGCACTGACCACCATGGGGCAGATGCTCAATGAAGGAGCTTCCCCTAGCCCAGTGGTCGCAAACTCATTAGTCAGCAGAGCCAAATATCAACAGTACAACGACTGAAATTTCTTTTGAGAGCCAAATTTTTAAAATTTAAACTTCTTCTAATGTCACTTCTTCAAAATAGGTTCGCCCAGGCTGTGGTATTTTGTGGAAGAGCCACACTCAAGGGACCAAAGAGCTGCATATGGCTCTCAGGCCGCAGTTTGCCAACCACAGTACTAGCCAGAGCCGGGGCCTATGAGTAGGCGGTGCCAGGCTGGCCAAGGTGGGTGCCAGTACCCCCCACCCCTAACTGCCCTGCCTGTCACTGAGCAGGAGGAGGCAACTGGCAGCAGTGGTGGGGGTGGGGACGGCAAGTGGGCAGTGACAGGCTGGTACCAGCAGGGCCCTTCTTCCTGCCCCCCTGTGATCACCCCTCTCGTCGGCCCTGATCGCCAGGCAGGCCTAGGGACCCTACCCATGCACGAATTTTGTGCACCAGGCCTCTAGTTATCTACATAAAATTTTATATTCAGTGAATACAACTATACAGAAAGAAACTAGAGAGGATATACACCAAAAGTTGAATTGGGTTTCTTATTTATTTCTTCTCTTTGCATGTCTGTATTTTCTACAATCAAAATTAATTTATTTTATTAGGGAAAAAAGGCACAGTAATAGAGAATTAAGTCCCTAAAACATATCCTGGAAATTTTCCTGCTTTTCTGAGGACTTACTTGTGTAGTGGTTAAAGTGGAGATTGTTCAGAGATCACTGATTTCTAATTTTTCGATCAATGCCACACTTTTTTTCCACATCCTCTTTTTAAGAAACGAGGAAGAGGGGAATAGGATACGAGTCAAATGATCAATCTTTCATGAAATTTCATAAACATTTAATATAGTTGTAATCATAAGACATACTTTTGCATTCTTTTTTTCAATTAGTGTTATAAAAATATTTTTATGTGTTTTTGTATAGTGTTAATGGCATTATAGTCTATCAAGAGAATATATCTTTAGCTTTCCTCTGCAGCTGGTAATTTTCTAAATTCTTGATATGGTACACAACATTGCAATGAATGGTTGTGCATATGGTTATTTTCTTTTGAATACATTTCTTAGAATAAAATTCCTAAAAGTGGTATTATGGGATTACAAAGTATAAACATTTTTAAGGACCTTGATGTGAAAAATACCAGCTACTACTCAAAATACACACGTTTAGACATAGCTAGGCATTATCCGGCACAAGTAATGGAAATTCTCCCAGGATGATGAGATCCAAAAATTAAAAAGGTTGCCTCAAGGATATTTAGTTTTGATACTCAACACTTTATAACCATCTTTTTGCAATTTCCGAGCCATCCAAAGGATTACATGGGCTCCTCTGCTCATGGGTCTTTTCTATCCTGGTCATACCTTTCTGCAGAGGGAAACCCGAGAGAAGGCCTGAAAATAAAACCCATGCACTCAAGTCACTTGACCAGCCACCCCTGCCCCCAAACCAACTGAACCATGACTTACTTTTCTAGTGCACTTCGAACAGGAGGCAACCCTCCACAGCTGTGTTTGTATACTGTTTCCAGGATCTGACAGCCATGAATCTGTGGAAAACACAGCCTTTTCAATCTGGATTTCATTGTGCTACAGTAGTTCATGTAGCACAAACTCATATTCTATATTCAATCCAGATGGTATAATCGAGTAGAGAATGGGAATAACTTGATCATAAGATCCAGGTATAGTTCAATTCTGACTATAATTACAATGTGTGTGGGGTTTTCCCCACTCCACCAAGCAATTCGCAGACACCAGCTGGGGCATCCTACATTTTTACTTTATTCTGACTCTACTCTGAGATGGAGGCTTCATCACACAGGCATCATTGATTAAGTCATCAGGAGAAGGAAGAAGGTGAGAAGGCCGGTGCTGCAGGAGATTGAGATTAACCCTAACCCTAACCCTAACCCTAACCCTAACCCTAACCCTCCATAAACATCCACAAGGACAGGATTCTGAGACCATCCAGGCTGGTGAACCAGAACGATTCCACATGCCACCATGCAGGGCCCAAACCTCATCCTATGTATCTCCATCTGCCGTTGATTCATATCCTTTCATACCTTGGTAAAAAAACAAACACTGAAATCTAGTGAATAACCGGGTTTCCTGAGCTCCGTGAGCCACTCTAGCAGATTCATTGAGCCCACGGAGGGGATCATGGGAACTTCTGATGTACAGCCAGTTAAAAGTAGAGCAACAACCCGGGCTTATGATTGGCTTTGCGCCTAAGCCTCCACTCAAGGGTACAAAGTTTCAATTATAGAAGGTAAACAAATCCAAACAGAAAGATCTGCAGACATGGAGCAAGCAGGAGGCTTGATTCTGCTCCCGGCTACAAAGTTTCAATTGTAGAAGGTAAATATATCCCAGATACCAGGGCCTCTGCTTGGGTCGCTGGAGGCGTGGCTGGCCTGCAAACCACTACAGGCCCTTAAGCTCAGGCTGCTCCATACCCCAAGTGAACCCCAACCCTGATCCGGGACACCCTTCAGGGCAAACCAGCTGGCCCCTACCCATGCACCAGGCCTCTATCCTATCTAATAAAAGAGTAATATGCAGATTGACCATCACTCCAACACACAAGATGGCTGCCCCCATGTGGTCAAAGATCCTGCCCCTATGTGGACACAAGATGGCCAGCAGGGGAGAGCAGTTGGGAGGCACTAGGCCTGCAAGGGAGGGCAGTTGAAGGTGATCAACCCTGCAAGGTAGGGCAGTTAGGGGTGGCCAGGTCGGCAGAGGAGGGAAGTTGGGGGGCAAACAGGCTGGCAGGGGAGCAGTTAGGCCTCAATCAGGCTGGCAGCAGAGTGGTTAGAGGTTGATCAGGCTGGAAGACAGAAGCGGTTAGGGACAATCAGGAAGGCAGACAGGCGAGCAGTTGGGAGCTAGCAGTCCTGGATTGTGAGAGGGATCCCAGATTGGAGAGGGTGCAGGCTGGGCTGAGGGACAGCCCCCCTGCCAACATGCATGAATTTCGTACGCCGGGCCTCTAGTATTTAATAAGTAATAAGCATGTGGGTTTTATCCAATGACCTAATTTTCATAAAACTGTCAACACCCTAACAAGAAACTATTGCCTTCTTTTTTCCTAAGAATTAACTTTTAGTTTCTTCTTAACAACAGTTTCCCCCCACCTCTGGACCAGAAGGTACTTAGGGGCAAGATCATAGTTTATTTTTGCATTCCTGACACTTAGCATAATACCTAAGCAAATACTGTTACATACATACACATACAAACTACTAAAATCTAGAGTCTTCAGAAAAGAATGTAAGGCAAAATTAATTCAGAATATTTACTTGGTGCTTACTGGAGCAAAATGAAAAAGAATAGTTCCCACCTTTTGACTTTTAATTTGTTCGACTACAACCATCACAGAGGGAAAAAGGAGCTGGAACTGCAAAGTAGAGAATAATTAGGAGGGTCTATAATCAAATACAAGGAAAAAATTACTTCAGGAAATACTTTTGTTTCTAAATAATCCCACTAAACGAAGATGGCAATACCATAGAGCAGCCAAGATCCGATATCTTTATTTTTTTGTTAATCCTCACCCAAGGATATTTTCCCAATGACTTTTAGGGAGTGGAAGGGAGGAGGAGTAACAGAGAGAAAGAAACATCGATGTGAGAGAGACACATTGATGGCCTCTTGCACTCGCCCCAGCAAGGGCCGGGATTAAGCCTGCAACCAATTTATGGGAATCAAATCTGGGACCTTTCAGTCCCCAGGCTGATGCTCTATCCACTGAACCAAACTGGCTAGGGGAAGATCCAATATTTTAAGGCAACTTGATATGAGGTTGGTGGCAAATAGAAAGAGAATGGCAGATAGAAGCAGTTTCTATTTCTGAGACTAGCAAAACTGTTAATATTGAGGTCAATTTAACTGTTAATATTGAGGTCAATTTAGAGCATTAACATCAGACATTAAGTTTTAACTAAATTTGGAGCTTCCAAACAGTTCTGATCTAGGAAAGCATACGAAATACAAACTGTTGGGCTATTTTAATTGAGAAGGAAAAAAGTTCTCAAAAAATTTCACAAGTTGGCTGAAACCGGTTTGGCTCAGTGGATAGAGCGTTGGCCTGCAGACTGAAGTCCCGGGTTCGATTCTGGTCAGGGGCATTTGCCTTGGTTGCAGGCACATCCCCGGTGGGGGGTGTGCAGGAGGCGGCTGATCGATGATTCTCTCTCATCGATGTTTCTAGCTCTCTATCGCTCTCTCTTCCTCTCTGTAAAAAAATCAATAAAATATATATTAAAAAAAAATTCACAAGTTGGATGATTTTAACAATATCAACATATTCCAAAGCATTTTATTATTTGAGCAGCATACCTGATCTAAGGAGTAGTTGACATGTGATATGGAGAGATGGGGGTCAGCCAGGAACTGCAACAAGAAACACTGGGATTAGAGCTCCATACAAAATATTTCAAATCCATTTGACCTACGAAAACTAGAATGAAATCTAAGAATGGGCTTCGTGTTAGTTTTAGGCTATTGAGAACTGATGCTTTATAGAAGATTATTAATTCTGATTTTCAGGTGATAATAAAATCAAAGCTAGAGCTCTTCTTACTCAAGAACCTTTGCCACGAGCTGCACGCCACTTTCATCATGGCTTGGACAATCTCAGAGAATACACTGTACTCTCCAGCCATGTAGAAATAGCTGACCACCTGACCATATCAAAAGGCATTTCAAATTCATAACATGCCCTACTCTTCTGTTCCAGAGGCGTTGTTCCAATATCTCCTTTCTTACCTCTTGTTCCAAATCAAGCAGTGCTTGTCGATAAGGCTGCAAAACAGAGTCCAGACCTGTGCAGAAGGCCCTGAGATAGATTCCATGTAACCCACCTTGGCCCTGCTGCGATGGATGGTGATCCTGAAATCAAACAAAGAAAAATCAACTCTCAGCTCAGACCTTGAAACGCTTTATTTGTGGTATTGTTTTTGTTTAAGTAATTCTGTATCAAAGAAGTGCTTCAGTGAGAGAGAAGCCCAACTGAAGAGACAGATTTTGAGTTCTGACCTTTTAAAATGTGTTATTTCAATTTTCTAAGCAGCCCAGATGTTACAACCAGGTGGTACTTCATATTGTTAGTGGAGATTTTTCTACAACTCAATTTTAATCTTATAAATTCCAGCTTAAGTCCTTTTGGTGGTTTACCACTGTCCAGAATAATATTTAAACTCCCCTACATAGCATTCTGGCCCTTACCTCTCTACAAAATTATTTAACTGTGTGTATTAAACTTCACATCTTCATTTCCAAACTACCCACAGGTCACCAAATGTACCTTGCTTCTATTTCTTAGTCCTGTGAATTTGGATGTGTTCTACAATACTTATAACTGTATATTCATCTTTTTTTCTTCTTTTTGTTAATCATCACCAGAGGTTATTTTTTCCATTGATTTTTAGAAATTGTAGAAGGAAAAGTGAGAGAGAGATAGTTTCCCATATGCACGCCTGGTCGGGGCTAGGAATCAAACCTCCAACTTAGGTACATGCCCCTGATTGGAACTGAACCCCTCAGTGTGCGGGCTGACACTCTCATCACCGAGCACACCGGCCAGGACTGTATACTCATCTTTGGGAAAATATCTTCTCTTCCTACAGGATCCAACTCAAGCATCTCTTCTCTGCAAAGCCATTCCTAACTCTCCCCAGGGAGTCAATAGCTCCCCCCTTTGTTGCTTTCATAGCATCTTTTATTAGTGCTGGAATTGTACTTTTGACCCTAGACCAACAGCTTCATGAAACAAGGTCCCTCATTTTATTTATCTTTGTGCTTTAGCTCCTAGCACAGTTCTTTGAACACAGAGGGAAATACAGGGAGTCCCCAAAAATGTATACACACTCTGAATAATATTCTTTCAACTGGAAAACAATCATCACTGATTCAGTTACACAATTCAGCAGTCATATATGTATTTCAGAAAGGAAAAGAGAGATAAAAACATCAATGATGAGAATCAGCTGTCCCCTGCATACCCTCTACTGGGGATCGAGACCACAACTTGAACTTGTGTCCTGATTGGGAATCAAACCATTAACTCCTGGTTTATAGGTTGATTCTCAACCTCTGAGTCATATCAGTCAGGAGATTTGACAGTTTTTTTACTTACCATGAAGAAGAATTACAGATTGTTAAAAATAAAGAGAACATTAAAATATCTCTTTAAAAAAGGTTGAGTGCCTACTACATACCAGGTATTTCCCATGAATTACCTTGTTTATTAATCTTCACAACCTTATGAGATACTTACTATCTATTACCCTCATTCTATAGATAAGGGCCTTCGTTACTGAGCATTAGGTTACTGCTGAGCAGTCTATGGCCAGTGAATGATGGTGTGGGGCACAAAATCTTGACCTCTATATTGTATTATTTTAAATTAATTCATAAAATAGATACTATTTATTAAGTACTTATTATGTGCCAAGCACTTTCTTTGGTTTAACTCTTATTTACAATTTTAAAAAATGAAGCTGAAAGACTTTAGTTGCTTGCCTCAACATGACTAAGATAGAAGCAGAGTGTCAAATGAATTTGAAATAACACTTCATGTTTTCACCTCTGGAAGTGGGACTCTGGTCCAGCTCAAAATAATTTAACTCAGGCCTCTTAAAACTCAGGCAAAACATATGTGCTCTTAACACCAATCTGCCTAATTAATCCCTGTGTATATTTCCTCTGTGTGCAGGGTACAGTCCCTGGGCCTTCACTTGAGTAATTCTAGTGATGAGAAATTCATAACTTCTTATGACTTATTTCACATGAATTACCAGTGGATTCACTGAAAGCTAAACATAGCTCCCGCCTCGGAGGTGTACATCCCCTGAGATCAGGAACTTACCTGCTGCTGCACATGGCTTGTGTACTGTTCAATGAACTCAGTGAAGCGGATATAATCTGTGCCCAGCCGGCAGAGTCGGTTCAGGACACTGGTTTCACTGGGATGGAGAAATGGGAAGTCCTGGGACACCTGTGGGAGAGGAAGCAGGCTGAACATACTGATGCTTGTGATTCATCGCATGCCAGTCTTTGAGGTGCTTCAAATGCTCTGTATTACTTAGTGTTTCCTTTCTCAAGATGCCCATTTAAGATTGGTTAAGTTCTGGATAACAAAAGTATTTCCAAACCACTACAAAGGTACTGTTTCCCACCCCGACCTAATGAATTTTTTACTTGAATAAGTGGTAACACATGGTAAAGAATTCAAAAAAGAATACAAAACGGTGTACATTAAAAATAAGTCAACTTCCCCTCAGAGGTAGTTACTACACCTGTTACTTATGCAATATTTTAGGCATGTTCTTTAAAGATAGTTTTTTACTTGGTTGCAACAAAGTTATTTTTAGCAAAGTGTTTAGCAAACTCCCAAGGTTTCTCAAACATACTCTTAGGATTTAGAAATTCTCTATGAAATTTTAAATCACGTTTTCATTTCAATAAAAATGTAAATAAATGTAGCATACTATAACCTGTAAAAGCAACTTTATAACTGGGCATATATATTTAGTATACATATTTTTATTCCCATGATAGCCCAGTATGCTATATAAGGTTACACAGCAGTTCAAGTAGAAAAAAGTAGTGGGAAAATGTATTCATTCAACCCACATTTTCAAAATATACACAAGAGTGACAATTTTAGTCATTTTTAAGTGTACAGTTTTTGGCATTAAATGCATTCACATTATCTTTTTACTGTTATCTTTTTACTTCAGATCATAAAGCACACACAAATACTCCTATATATGTTCCTCCTATATGCCTGGTGTTGTGCTAGTTTTACAAGGGAAAATAAATAATAACAAGAGGAACTGCTTTGATTTATAGGTTTTATAGACAAGAATGTTTATTTTTCTGCATCTCTCCAGCCTATACTGCCAGTTCTTATAGGAAGAGGCATGACTGTCATCAAACAAAGTTACATACAAATCTTGCTAATACCACCATGACATTCTGAGCTTCAGTTTGCTCCTTGGTCAACTGGGAGCTAACAATACCTAGTTACTAACTTATCGAGAGGGTGAGATAACATTATTGAAAGCAGAAGTAGACGAAAGTAGAGGAGATACTGGAGCCAGACAGACCTGGGTTCAAGACCAGGCTTGCTCATTACCAGCCGCGGGACACGGGGAATTAATCTGTGATATGAAGATGGGTGGTTGAGAGTAAATTAAATAATGCATATTAAATTAGATATTAGCCTTTCCTCTTCATCCATTCCTGGTTACATGAAGGCCTCTTTCCAAATTCTAGTGCTGAATTTACCGAGAAAGGGGTTTTGACAGAAACACATTCATTTTTTCATTCAACAAAACTGGCTGAACCCTTGTTGCATGTTAAACGCTATGTACAAAAAAACAAACAGAAAACCAAAAAAAAACACCCCACAAAACGTTATGTAGTTGGTCTAGCTTTCAAAATTTAAAAAAGTGTAAGCGTGAAATGCGAGAAAATGCCTCCCTCACTTTTATATCCAGTTCCCCAGAAACTCTCGCTCAAATTTCAACTTCAGGCCCATTGGAGTCTCTCTCTCCGTCCCCAAGGCGGGCCGGTGAGGGCCCTCGGCTCCCCGGTCCAGGCCCAGCTCCCTAACCACGCGTCCGCCCCACGCGGCCCACGGAGCACCGCCCTCCAGGCTCCCGCCCAGGACACGCCCCGCCCCAAGGCCCCGCCCTCGGCCCCTAAACCCCGCCCCTCGCACCGGCCCAGGTCCACCCGCCCATTGGGCGCCGGTTCCCGCGCCGCGGCGGGACGTACCTGCAGGCCGCTGCGCTTGTTCCAGGTGAAGATGGAGCCCGGGTACCCGCTCAGCGCCAGGAGCAGTTCGTGGATCATGCCCGTGGCGGAGCTCGAACCCCTTTATACGTCGCTCCTTCCTCCGGCGCCCTTCCAGGCAACCATGGAACCCGAGGCTCCGTTCTCTACACGCGCCCCCGGGATCGACGGCTCCTCCTGAACCCACTCTCCGGGACAATCAATAGCCGCGGGGGCAGCGGCGGGGAAGCGAGGGCGGACGGGGCGCCGCGTCCCGGAAGTCCGGCGCCGGCGGGACCGCTCGCCCTCCCGCTCCTGCCCCGGCTCCGCGGGAGTTAGAGTCGCGGCGGCGGGCTTCGCGCATGCGCCCTCTGGGGCCGAGTCACCCGCACGGACTTCCGGTTCGGGAGCTGGACTGGAAGGCTGGGGAGCCGGGCCCGGGCTGACCTCGGGGGCTGAGGGTGGCCCGCGGGCCGAGGGGCGAGTGGCCTGAGGGACAGCCCGAGTGAGAGACACTCCCAGGAGTGGGCTGGAGGGTGCTCTTGGGCACCTTAGCCCAGTAGAAGGTTTTTGTTTGTGTTTTTTTTGTGTTTTTTTTGGGGGGGTGGTGGTGGTGCTGACTGCACCGCGGCTCTGAGAGTGACCTGGCCGGAGGCAGCGAAGACAAAGGCCGGAACCCCGCACCCGCCGCTCCCGGAGCTGAGCTCCGCGCCCGCGAGCCCCGCAGCGCTCGGATCTCCTGGCCAGCGCCCGAGCTCGTCCTCAGGAGACCCATGACCGCTGCCCCCTCGGGCTCCCTTTTCCCCACCAACTCGGTGCAGCTCTCCCCGAGCTCGCCGGCCCTCGCTTCAGGAGCCAAAACCAACCTCTCCAGTCGGGAGGTGTCCCGTCAGGAGTTCCCGGATAGTTGCTGAGCGGTCCCTTCTGCTGTGAGGAAAAGCAAAGACCCAGTACTTGATTCAGTACTTGATTTTTGTCTGGGGTGGGGATTGGCAGTTGTGGAGTCCAGGGGCCGGGCGGACGCAGAGAGCCTGAGGGCGATCAGCCGCGGCCCGCTGGACAGAGGCTTGGTGTTGCCTGCAGCAGGAGGGTGCCTTGCTTTAGCTCCTGAGCTCCAGGTCTCCCGTACGGTTCGCACTCACAGTGTAACCTTGGCAGAGGAGCTAAAGGGGATCAGAATTGGGGGTGGGGAGGGGGAAGAAGAGCAGACTTATTTTCTTTTCTCTGCTGTTTTGCCAGGCTGCCCTGGGAAGTCGCCCGGAAATGCAGCTTCTGAAAGTTTTCTCTCCATGCTCAGTTTGGGCTTGCTATCCTGAAGTTGGTGCTCCCCCGGATGGCCACATGGAGCATATATATGGGAAGTCAGGCCAGCTCTGGCAAGACTTTAGACATATGAATATATTCCTTCTGATAGTGCCATCTCTCTCTACCCTAGGAAAAAACGCTTCCCTAGAGAGACTCACCTGCAGGTGGTTCTCCGAGGACATGGGAAGATAGGTGTGAGCCCAGGAACCCAGACCCTTAAGTGGAGGGAAGCTGCTTTCCGCTGCGAATGATGGCCAAAGCTACTCAAAGAGGGAATGGCCCTAACTCGGAGACCCTACGACAGCGCTTCAGGAAATTTCATTACCAGGAGGCAGCTGGGCCCCGGGAGGCGTTCAGCCAGCTCTGGGAACTTTGTTGTCGGTGGCTGAGGCCGGAGGTGCGCACCAAGGAGCAGATTGTAGAGCTGTTGGTGCTAGAGCAGTTCCTGACCATCCTACCTGGGGAGATCCAGAAGTGGGCCCAGGAGCAATGTCCGGAAAGTGGTGAGGAGGCTGTGGCTCTGGTGGAAGATTTAGAAAGAGAGCCTGGAAGACCGGGACGTTCGGTGAGAAGGGAGGGGAATTCACAAGTGTGTGACTGGGCAGGGGCAAGGATAAGGGGCCAAATTAAGGTGCAGGCATTTTAAAGAGGGACACAGTCTCCCTTGGTAATGCTTATCCTTCCGGTCCCGGAACAGGTAACGTTTTCAAATACAGCTTATCTTGGAGATGCTATCTGGGTGTATCGTTGCTACCCTGTCATTATGAGTTATTCATAGATTCCGTTTTACTTAATTGGGAAGAAAGGGGAGTTATGTTTTAGCTGGTAGTGGGTTTACTATTTTGATCTTTTCCTTCTGGAGTTCCAGCTGCTCTAAGCTAACAGTAATGGAATCAGAATGACTCCTTTGGCTATTACCACCACCAACCACAACGCTAGCCATGTCCCCGAGGGATGGTGGTCTTTTTTGTGGGGTATTAATCTCCTCTGGGAATGCCCCTCATCATAACCTTGCAGTGACCATTAATGGGGGTTGTTTCTAGGTCACAATCTCTGTGAAGGGGCAGGAAGTACGCTTGGAGAAGATGACACCCCTGAAATCATCACGGGAGTTATTAAGTGTTCGGCAGGAGTCAGTGGAACCTCAGTCCAGGGGTGTACCCAAGAAAAAGAGGGCAAGAAGCCCAGTCCTGGGACCACAGGAGCAGATGAACACAAAGGAGAAGCTCAGACCTTTTCAAAGGAGCGGTGAGGAGTAGATTCATATGGGAAGATAGGATGCCATTCCAAGTTGGGAAGTGGGGTGTGGGAATAGTGAGTGGGAAAGGGATTTCAGGAATGAGTGGTAATGATAGAATATGTGGTGTTGGTTACCTCCGGAAGGCAGATAGTTTAGCTCTCTGCTCCAGAAGGTATTCTTATATTTCCTCTTTTGATAAGTCTGCCAGAGCAGGGTTCCTTAGTTTTTGCCAGAACTTTGAACGAATATATTTCCTCTTGGTAATGATAATACTAGGTCATATTTCCTAGATAAAATGTATTTTCTATACTTGAAGGTACATCTTCCTTTTAATCATTTTCCTTTTACAAAATAAACCGAATTTGTTTCTTTAAGCTTTTCCTCAGATGCTCCATTATTCTGACATACTAAGTTTTTGTTACTTTCCCTTGGAAACTTTAAGTTCTACAGATATGTCAATTATGGAGAACTAAGTTATGTATATTATTCTAATAAGGGTCTGATAGGTTGAGGCAGAGTAAGAATTTTACTTCAGAATTTCACTATTTTCTTTCAGTATAGCTCAACTAATTATTTAATGTTATTGTTCACCTGGTAATTCCTAGGACTCTCATAGCCTTCCCCATTGTCTTTGCGTGTAGTACTTATTCTTGTACATGATTTTGTAGAGCTTGTTTTTCTTCTTTGTACTCTGTAGAATTCCATATTGTATGATTTTTTTCCTTGATCATTTCTTTAACTTGTTGAGGTTGTTCTAAATTTTGACTTTATCATTCAGATGCTAAACTTCTCAGCCTGCCTTCTTTGGTCTCTAGTCATCCAGATGCAATCCCTCAACCCCCCACATAGGCTTGTAGACTTAATCAGTTTGTGAACACATACCATGTGCTCAACACCTTGTAAGGCATTCTGCAATGGGAAAGATGCCTATCCTCAAAGAGCTTATATTGATAATATGATTGAGAACATAATAGCAAACATAAATATGTGCTGACTGAACTGTACTGAAACAATGCTAAATAATAACTTGTTATTGTGTGAGCACAATGAAAGTTTGATGAGTGGAAGATGAAGGAGAGCTGTAGGGAAGATTTCATGGGGACATTGGCAAATACAGCTTGAAGAATGGGTTATGTTTGGATAGGAGGGGAAGAGCCTGATGTGGACGGTGCATAGTAGGCACTCAGGTTACGATCCAGCAGTATATAGAGCTAGGAAGGACAGTGACTGCTGCAGATAGCTGGGAGTGAGAAGATGAGGAGCCTAGACTTGGATGGTGGCAGTAGGAATAGAGGACATACTAAGGGAAAAACCTTTAGAACTTGGTGACTGAGTATGAAGGAAACAGATGCGTAGAAGATGATTTCTACTCTGTTTCCCTCCCACTTGAAATCTGAGTTTAATTTTCTAGCCCCAAGTGGAGAAATTTAGGAGACAGGAGGTAACTGTTACCAGCACTGCCATGACCTGCCTACAAGTGGTCAGGAGGGCTTGGGAGCAATTTGGAATAGAATTATCTGCTCTGAACATACAACAAGCTTTTCTCTCATCACCCTGTTCTGGAAAATAAATAGTTCTCATTTTTTGAGGTTTCATGTATTTCCCCCATTTTCTTTAACACATTGTACTTTCTGAAAATATTTCCTTAGACACTTTAAAAAACTATATATTTTTTTTTAATTAATTAATTTATTTTTTCTTTAGAGAGAGAGGAAGGAAGAGGGACAGAGAGACAGAAACATCGACGAGAGAGAAACATTATCAATTGACTGCCTCCTGCATGCTCCCTTCTGGGGACTGAGCCAACAACCTGGCATGTGCCCTGACAAAGGAACTGAACCTCCATCTCTTGGTTCCTGGGTTAATGCTCAACCACAGAACCATACTGGCTGGGCAGACATTTTCTTTATTAGCCTCTTGGATAAAAAAGGCAGGTCTGAACTCAGATATTTTTTTTTCCTGATCAGTCCAAATTATGACATCCTTTGTTTGCTTTCCTGCAAGCAGGGTTTCCATTTCCTAAATCTGGTGTGGTCTCCAGGTTGGAGCAAGGAGAGCCTTGGATCCCAGATCTGGGCTCCAAGGAAAAGGAACTCCCAAGAGGCAGTGTCACAGGAGACAGACAAATGCATGCTGACCTGTTACCATCCAGGAGAGAGAAAAGCAGCTGGGTGGGTCAGGATCACTGGGGCTTTGAGGATGAGAAGGTGGCAGGTGTGCACTGGGGCTATGAAGAGACCAGAACTCTCCTCGCAATTCTCAGTCAGACTGAATTTTATGCGGCTCTCCGAAACTGTCATCGAAACAGCCAAGTATATGGGGCTGTGGCTGAGCGGCTCCGGGAGTATGGCTTCCTCCGGACCCTGGAACAGTGTCGGACCAAGTTCAAAGGTCTCCAGAAGAGCTATAGGAAAGTCAAGAATGGCCACCCACTTGAGACCTGCCCCTTTTTTGAAGAGATGGAAGCCCTGATGAGTGCTCAGGTCATTGCCCTGCCCAGTAAAGGTCTGGAAGAAGCAGCCTCTCACTCTGGCCTGGCAAGCAGTGATGCTGAGACTAAGGAGCCAGAGCCCGGGAGTTGGCAGCATGAGGAGGGAGCAGAAGAGGCCACAGCAGAAGAGTCTGACAGTGATGAAATGGGTGAGAAAGCCACCCCCCCGGACCCCAACAATTCAACTGCACCCGTCCTTTACCGAAGCCCAAGTGGTAAGCAGCTTTTATTCTTGGGGTTTTGGGATTAGACTTGAGTTATGGCCTGGATGTGGAATCATGAAGCTTAAGGTCATCTGCCAACTTTGCCAGAGAACAGAGAGGCACTTCTCAATGCCATGTATATTTCATTCTGTGGGAAAGTCAGATAATAGAGTAGGGAATAATTTTAGTTATTTTTAAAGAAATGCAAATTCAAGAAAGTCCTGAAAAGGAATATTATTGCTTCCATTTTTTTAAAATATATTTTATTGATTTTGTACAGAGAGGAAGGGAGAGAGATAGTTAGAAACATCGATGAGAGAGAGT